GAGGTCCCTTAAGACATTATTTATTAGGGATTGGAAGGAAGCTAGAGCATTAGTAAGCCTAAATAGTATTACTAAGAACTTATACTTCCTATCCCTAGTATTAAATATAGTCTTATAGGTATGCTTAGGTTTGATTAAGAGCTACTAAAATCTAGAGACAAGGTCCAGTTTAGTAAATATACTACCCTAGGTAATAGTGTCTAAGCAATCTTAGATCCTTAGGAGGGGGAAGCTATTCTTTATAGTAGCATTGTTAAGGGCCCTATAGTTAATACACATTCTCTATTACCTATTAGGCTTTAGAACAAAGAGTATAGGACTTCCCTATAGACTGCTAGAAGGCTTAATTAGGCCCCTCTCTAGTAGCTTTTGGATCTGTATAGTCTGTTCCTCTAGCTGTTTTAGGTTTAAGCTATAGGCCTAGAGGTTAATAGGGGTAGTATCTCTAGTTTCAATTGCATAATTAAAAGCTCTCTCCTATAGGAGTTTAGCTAGGAGGGAATCTCTCTAGAGGGTAGGGAACTAGTTTACTAACTTCTAGATTTCTAGATTACTATATAGGGGAGGTTTGTTCTCCTTAGGTGTAGTCTCTGTCTTAGTAGTAGCATTTAGGCCTTTCTTCTAAATGTTATCCTCGCTTAGAGGAGCCTTTCGTAGTATATATAGGTACTAGGGACTAGATATATACTTAACTGCTTCTACTAAACAGAGGGAGTTAAAGACTTCTAAATCCAGGTTTCTATTCTTTAGCTTAAAGATCTTAGAGTTAGACTTAATAGAGTGGCCTTTACTATCCTTGTCCTAAAGACTAAGTTTACTAGCTTGCTAGTTTACTGTTAGGTTGTACTGTCTAAACTATTAGAGACTAAGAATCACTTTATACTCTAGGATGTCTAGGACTCTAGTAGGGATTTGGTCCTACTAGGATCCAATCTAGTATAGTAAAATGACTCTAGAATCTAATGTAATGCTCTACCCTGTTAGAAGGAGTATCCTTATAGGGGGCATAGATATATAAAGCTTCTTAGGGAGTCTCTTTACTACTTAGTAGGAGATATAAACTCCTAAAGTAGTAGTATCTAGTATAAAGTAGGCTCTAGTCAGTTTGTTTAGTAGTCTAATTACACCTTTAATAGTGAATAAGTTCTTATTAATAGAGGCAAGCCTTTCTAGGGTGTAGTCTTCTTCCTCCTCTAAGTCCTCCTATATAGCTAGTTTACCTTAGGAGCTAGGTCCTAGGGGAGAGGTAGAGGCATTCAACTGCTTTATAAGGTGCTAAGCCTCTTTAGGCATCTTATAAGCTAGTTTTTTGACATGTACTCATTTCTCTAGTAACTAGTCTTCCTATACTTAAAGCAAGTACTTAAGGACTTGTTACTCCTAGTTTTCCTATTATGCCTCCTACCTTTCTTGCCCTTGCTATTCCTCCCCTTTATGCCTTTGTCTTTTCTTCCCTTAGAACCTTAGGAGGTTCCTAGGGCTGCTAATTGTTCGGTATTTTGTTATAGTAGGGCATTTATAGATTCCTAGGCCTTCCTAGTACTATAGAGTTTTTTGTCTGTATTAATAGCCTACCTTATATAGTCCCTAGTAGAAGTGTTTAATGTATATACTCCTCTCTAGTCTAATTTATCTCTAACATCTCGTTTAAGGCCAGCCTGGAACCTCCTAATAAAGACGAAATTATTAGGTTTAGGGTTATAAAGCTTGTTCTACAAGCCTTTCAGTACTCTAATAAAGTTATGTACTTCTCCTATCTAGGTACAGCTATCAAATTTCCTACGAATGGACTCCGTATAGTCCAAGTCTATATTTAGATCTTCTAGAGTTTATATAGTATTCTTAAAAGCCCTAAGTAGGTTCTTTACTTTCTAGGCTTTAGTAATAGCTACTACCTAGTTAATAAGAGCATCCCTAGTAAGGTAAGTTAATACTAGTTACATTTTCTAAAGATTATTAAGTAGTGTTTTGAACACAAAGATCTTATTCTAGGCAATCTAATTCTAGACCTAGTTAATCTAGTCTAAGATATTATTATTTCTCTAGCTATTATTATATAGTACTAGATATCTAATCTAGATCCTTCCTATTAGTCCAGCTATAGAAGTAGTAGTGTTTAGAGCTTAGTTAATAGTAGTATTAGTTAGAGGGTTCTAAGGAGTAGCTACTATAGCTTCTTATATAGTACTTAGTTCTTAGAGAAGCTAGAGAGCTCGCTAAAGGGCTGTAATTGCTACTAGGTCGGCTCCCTTACTATGCTCTAAAATGTAGAGGCCTAGGAATTCTAAGAGTAGAAAGTCTCGGTTAGTAAAGCGTATAGTATTAGGTAGGTTAGGTTAGTCGGCTATAGTAGTAGTTATTATAGTTAAAACTTGGATTAGGGCTGTAGTTAATTAGGCAACCTATAGGCTTATATAGAGGGCTTTGATCTATCTATTCTTAGAAGAAAAGATAGAAGGTATCTTAGCTACTAGATGTAAGAGCTTTAACTAACAAAGAAGGTTTATAGCCCGGCTATCTATATAAGGTTTTGAGGTGTTTTTATATCCCCTCTGCTTGGCTGCCAAGACCAGAGTTTTTTACACTTAGGCATAACACCACTTTAGCAAGTGTGGTGTAATTCCTTGGCATGCAGGCCAAGGATCTCACAGCGAGCGGCCCGCCGCTGCACGTGAACTGCGAACTACTTTAGTCGAAACTCTTCATTCACCCGACTTTCATCGACTTGCACCATCACCTCATGCAATCATCAACTCCATCGAGAAGTCACGGTACGGGGCGCGAGGTCTCACACATTCATCGAGCTTGAACTTCCGGATAGGTCCATCCGGTTTGGCTCTGCTCCAATTCACGATTTCCGCAAGATTCTATCCTCTCGAGAAGTGTTCACTTGCCATTTGCCAAGACTAACCATTATGAGCTTAGAATGTGTTGGAAAGGAAATATGCAACAATTTCGGCCGAGGATCGGAGCCATCAGATGTCAACGTCAAGACTGCACCCAGCCTCATCCTTGGCCAGACCCATGCATCGCATCACCAGCAAGCATTCGCGAGCTGAGGACGGGCAATACGCATATTTTCAGGCCGGGTTTTCGCAACTCGCGCCTTTCTCAGAAGTTTCTGGGTTTCCTCTAACTCGCGATGCCCTACACTCTACGTAAACCAAGCTACTGCTCAGGCACTCCCAGACAGACAAACTGACACCTGGATCATCAGATCCTGTTAACTTGCCTCTTCCGACATATCTCGATCGACTGGCTGGATTAGAACCGTGAAAATAATCGCCAGACTCCTCGAAAAAGGTACATCTGGCTACTCGGCCAAACACCTCACAATTGAGCAGCTGAGCAATGCTATCAACGAAGCAGCTCTCCGGCTGAATGAACAAGACGGCACAAATGGCGACGCAAAAGTCATCGCCTTTTATGACAGCACCATCGGACATACTCTACATGACCTTCTTGGCCGCAGCTATCAACGCCAATCGGCTTGCATTCTTTCTCTGCCCATTAACGGCGCTCAAGCTCACATTTCCCCCGTCAAAGTGTACAAGTGCCACTATCTCATGCTTCCACGGAATGTCTCGTTTCTGGCGCTTTCGAGACCAGTGATTGAACAAACAAAGCTCCGTGTTACAGAAGTGCCGGACCTGGATGATTTCTTGGGAGCTTCAAAGACCATTCCACCTACTTGGACGCCCCCTACCGATGAAGATCCGCGAACGCAGGCAATGGAGAGAGTCCATACTAGCGGTAGCATGGGCTTAGTAAAGGCAGTCTATGTCCCGCACGGAAATTTCATGGCCGTTGTGCACTGGAAGAGGGTCATCGACCTAGGTCACAGTCCGGTGCACGTCACTCTCTGGAAAGGCAAAACAGTCTTCTCGGGGTTCTCGCCTGGCCACATGGCTGCTATAGACTCTCTTTTCTCAGCAACGGTCTTAGACTTCACTGTCATTCTATCTCCAACAGACGCTGGACCGTTAACACCTGAATTCGTCTGCGAAATCATCCATCAAGTGAACCCAGACTTTTGGTTTATGCTGCTATCCGTTTTGGCAGACATACCAGCATCGAAAATCTTGTTGGGGAGCCTCCCCAAAGTCAAGGTGCAGCTTGTCGCATCGGACAAATTGCGAATCCTGTCTCTGGAAACGGCGTTTGGCCAAAACATGAGTGGCTGCCGAGTCTGATGTTATCATCCAAATACTCGAGCGATCTTCCAGACTCGCTTGGCTGAAGGGAGATCGTTGATTGGGTACCTGTAGACAGGGGTAGCTAGCATTGTCTGTGAATTCTTTACCCATGCAGCGGAAGGCTTGCAGAAGGACACAAACAATGTCAATATCCATCACTGTGTCAAACCAAACAAGACAACGTGGAAAGCTCTTCTACCGTCAGCTCAGTCTTATCTTGGAGTCCAGAAACCCATGTCGCTGCACGCATGGGTCGAAAAGCTCAAGGGATGAGGAGGAAAAGCTTCTGAGGAGAATCCAGGCGCCAAGCTCGTTGGTCATTACAAGAGCCTCTTGGAGGCGGAGGAACAAGTCCTGTTGCATGCCAATCTGAGCGAAGAAGCAAGTGATACTTTGGACGAAATGGGCCCAATCACGGCAGATATGATAGGTAGGTAGGTTCGAAGCTGGGTCTGATGGTCCGTTTCTCATGGATGCAGTTGGTCTCTCGCTCAATCTTATCGTCCAGGTCAACCTGCGCGGCCATCCCGTGCTCCACGAGCCGGTCAAGACTGAAGAGTTGCTTACAATCAGTGCACAAGTCGCTGGCTGGGATTTGAGGAGCTCTGGAAAGAGAGCAAGGGTCTTCTTTGGTGTGATCGATGAATATATCTGTACATCTGTAATGGCAAATGGGGTACTATCGTTAGTCTTCAAAGGCTAGCTCGCAGCCATACGCGCCCTTGTGTGCGAAAAGCTCTCAAAGATTGCAACCGTCTGGTTCGGCATTTCTCAACCAATCTCATCTCACCTCATCCCGTAGAATCACAACACATCCTTCAGACTACACTCATTCGACGACTCTGGTATAGTCCTGCTCCCCGAACCCGACCGTTCCACCAGCGTCGTCTGCTTTTCAAGCCCTCTACCCAGCTCTTGAGGCGAGCCGTGCTCGGCGATTTGCTGTGTTTCCGGTGCCGTGACCGAGTGGAGACAGATGCAGCCGATGACCGCGTCGATCTTGCAGGTCATACAGCAAAGCCAGGCGGGTTCTCCGTTGAACAGGAGCAGTGACACTTTCACCGTCAAGAGCGAGAGCATAGTGATGCCTGTTCCGATGCAAGTCCGGAGGACCACTCTTCGAAGCGGAAGCAAGAGGCCAGGCCCTCCGAAGTGGACTTGAATAAGTGGCCATAGGAATCGCAGGGTGAGGTATGTCTGTGGGTACGCCCATTAGTGCACGAAAACAACGAGAGTCATGGGTTCGACTCACGTAACTTCCAGCTTCCACCACCACCAGCGGAATCAGAGCATACTCCTTTATGCCAATAACACAGACATCGTGCCCTACGTACATTGCTACTCGACTTTTGCATGTTGCAATCAGCTCCTGCTCTGGTCCAGAAACAGAGCTCCTCTGAAGACTCACTAATTTATGCAGAGCACCGTTACAATCAAGTACGGCACAAAGATGCATGTACAGTTCAGAACATATTCCGTATCTTTCCATCGAGGCTGCACCGGCCATGTGATAATGTACGCCCGCTCGATGAGGAAGAGGAGAGTCGCCGATTTCGACACGACGTATAAGGTCAAGCCTGCAGTTCCATCAGCGGATGTGGTCGTAAGCTGTGGTCTGACGTCTTTCTTGTACACAGCAGGATCGTAGCGTCGCATAAGCCCAAATTCTCCCCTGGGCGGATGTGGAGGAGGACGGTGAGGATGAGGACGAAGAGGAAAGCTGTGACATAGCTCTACGTATCGTCTTGGTCAGCGAACCGATTCCGATGCCATGCAGTATGAGAGAAAGACTCACAACCAGTAAAGTTATCGTCGCTACCGTCCATTGTGTCCCAGTCGCCAAGTTGCTATGACAGCGTTGCCACCGTTGCCACTGCCATCTCTGGTAGAAGAATACAGCAATAAGTGGAAGCGACAAAAGCGACGTGATCAGGGACACAATGTCCCCAGGAAGCAAAAATTCCTTTTTAACCGGATTGTCGTCGCTGATCACTGCCATGGTGCATGGTTTTCAGCAACCAAAGGAGCTGTTGGAACCAGATCTGGTCGGTGCAGGCACCAGATAAGGACAGACTCGCGATCAAGGAGAAGAGACTATATCACGCACATCGCAGCTGCGGTTAGTGCTTAGACATGAGGGCGTCGTAACCTGGGCGGAGATCGCTCGCGGTCTCATTCTCCACGTGGTCGTGCGAAGCATCCGTTGTCATGCCGGCGCGGAGAGTAGCGCAGTTCTCAGTAGACCGCATAAGCATTACGAGAGCGTAGCCAACCTTGCCAGGGGTCAGTCCGTGTTCTTATCTATCGTGATGCAATTTACACTCACGCCAACGAATCCATGAGAGATTGTTACGAACCGAGAAGCGAAGGATGAGGGGAAAGTTTCTGGAGAAGGTCCTGTCGCGCATAGCATGGATGGCCTCCAGGATCTCTGACCACGATTACCCAAGGAGCAGACGGCTGAAGTGGGCCTGTCTAGCCCTTTTAGGTGTCGATAAGCGCCATGATGCGCGACCGGTCGGTTTGGAATGAGCCATACTCGCATGATACTGCGCGTGGAGTGAAGTTCAGGGCCTGCTTGACGCTCGACATTTTCCACATACATTAGGTGATCTGTTGCCTGGCCGTGAGACGCCTCGCGATATTCTTGCGGCTATGTGGGGGCAGGGACGTCCAATTTCAAGCATCAGCGCTTCCAGATCCCAGCAAGGATGGTTGGTATCATGCGCACGTCGTGGAAGGCGGATAAGTCTCGGTCCCCGGAGCCTAATGTCCCTAATCCTACATGGGAACGGGTCGGGATACGTTCAAAAGTTGAAGGATACAGTCCCAGTTCACGGGAAGAGCTTGAAACACTTTCCAGGTCAAGTGCCTGCCACTTCGTCAGCAATGTGCATCCGCAGAAGTCCGTCACCGCCATTCGCGCATTGGCGGCTTGTTTTAGTAGCTATGTACTCACCCGTAGCATTTCGACCGACCTCAAACCCTCACCTCACGAAGCTCGCGGCTCACGCATGAACAAACATCAGCGACCTCGGTTCGCCTCTGAATCAGTGTCATGGTGGTATACCGACGGTAAGCGAATGAAACCCAGGCTCGGTTCGCATGGACGTGTCTATGCGACCGTTCCACGGCTCCTTCTGTCTTCCAGATGACAGCAATGCTACAACGAGCTGTCGCTCGGTATATCTAATCAATCAAAGATTTAATCGAGGGCCGCAATCTCTGATTTTCTTGAGGCAAAATGGAAGGACAATATGTCGTAGGAGAGAGAGGAGCATGGTTGGAAGGAGGAGGATAGAGAAGGGGAATATAATAAGGTAACGCAGACATGACAAAGTACGGCACGGTACGGAACGGCGGCTACCGGAAGCCAGCCAATCGGAACGGCAAGTGAACAGGACCCACTCCGAAGACCGACACCACACGTCGTATCTCGACTTTTCTCTCCTTTCACACCAAATCATGATACAGACTTGTATTGAATCTTTTTGGTGACACAATAAGACATGCCGAGCTCTTGGGATCTGTCGTCTTCACAGTCGGCGGTAACAGACTGGCTGCCGTATTGGGGAGCTCCCACAGCGGCTGTGAAGTATGTATGATGTCCCAATCCCGCCTCAGGTCCATAGCCAAGGGTACCAAACACTGCACATCCTTACCTTTCGCTTCGGGTTGACCAATTGTCGGCTAACGAGGACGTCGAGCTAGCTTCTGTGAAGAGGTTCGTCACTTGTGCATTCAATGCAGAGACGGCGACGCTGATCATGAAGCCAGGACTATGTCGTCACGAAATATATTGCCGAATTCTTCAACACCTTGACGAGTCTGGCATACAGTATGTAGCGCTGGGATTCTTTGAGACCGCCATACTGAACACATTGACTAGTCCTCTATGGCATCCACGGAATCCAACGGTACAAGCGCCATGATGTCGGCACCTTCTCGACCCCGAACCTGTCATATTGGGCCTTAATCGGCGTCGGAATCTTCTCTGGCCTATATCACACCACTTTGAAGTACCATACGCAGATGTGTATGTGTGCATGATTTTTCTCAGAACATCAGGAAGCAAAACTGACGAGACAACTCAGCCGACGAATTGTCTATGCACCTGGCCATCGGAACCGTTCTTCACCAGCTGTACACTTTCAACGAGCCGCCGCACATTCAGCGTCGCAACACAGCCATCATCCTGGGGATTCTGATCCCCTTCGTAATCTATCATTGCGTGACGGACGAGTTCGTGCTGCACATCGCCATGTTCTTCAGCATGTCGTGGATTGTAGGCTTCAGGACGCGAAAAGTCATCGCGAGTCGAATCAAGGAGAAAGAACGCCAGGACAAGATCCGCTCGCTGGTGACATTCGCCACTTGGACGGCGCTCGGCGCTTATGGGATCTGGAATATCGACGTCAATTTCTGCCCAACTCTTACCAAGTGGAAACAGAATGTGGGCATGCCGTGGGGCGTCTTGCTGGAACTGCACGGATACTGGCACTTGTTGACAGCGATCTCTTCCTACACTTTTATGGCTGTCATTGAATTTCTGCTCAGTCCAGACGGTATTCACAGCCATGGTATTGGATTTGCCTGGCCAGTCAGAGCTGTACTACACGACATTGCTCCGAAGCAAGTGGCGAAGAACCTCCCGAATGGCCACGAGAAGGGGAATTGAACGAACTTTGAAATCAACGGGCGGACAGTTTTCCAAGTTAGAGATAAACATTGATAGACCGACGGATTTAGTTACCCGTCCATCCTCCATCAACAATCACAGGCACCCCGCTAACAAAGTCACTCGCCGCGCTTGCTAGAAAAATTATCGCACCGGAGAGGTCCACGGGCTCGCCCCATCGTTTCGCCGGTGTTCGCATCATCACATAATCATTGAAAGACTTGTACTTTGGGTCTGTGATGTACTGATCCGTCAACGCAGTGCGGAAATACCTTTATAAAATTCGTCAGCAACACGACGAATTCTGGTCGTTCCCGTGACAACAACAACTCACCCAGGACAAATACAATTCACCTGAATGCCCCTCCCGGCCCATTCATTACTGAAAGCCTTCGTCACCTGCAATACGCCACCCTTGCTCGCCGCGTAGGGCGTGATATTCTTCCCCCCAATAAACGAGATGATGCTCGCAACATTGATAATCTTGCCGCCCCTGCCCTCCTTCAAGATCGGCTTCGCGAATTCCTGACAAGAAACTACGGTAGCTTTCAGATTTATATCCAGGACATCTGCAATCTGCTCGTCTGTGAAGTCTTCCGCCTCGGCTCGACGTTGAATCCCGGCACAATTCAGGAGGATATCGGCTCTGTGGCCGTCGTTCCAGATCTGTGCATAGGTGGCACGCAGTGACTTTGGGTCTTTGACGTCGCAGGTATAGCGGTGGAGTTGGACGCCTGCGGATCTCACTGCTTCGGATAGGGTCTGGTGGCCCGGGTCTTCGGGCAGTTCGATCGAGACGATGTTCGCTCCGGACGACGCCAAGGCGAGGGTCATTGCTGTCCCGAGACCGCCTGTTCCGCCTGTTACGATTGCTGTTTTGCCCGTCAGGGAGAAGAGTTGGGAGACGTCGACGAGGGGAGCGGCTTGGGCCATGATGATTTGGGATTTCCTGAGATCGGGAAAGGCACGCTACTGAGCTCTCTCGATCAGTCTGGAGACCTGTTCAGCAAAACCTCGGGAGAAACGGTCTCTTGAAGAATATATCGCGTTTTCCCCAATACCCCTTTGAGGCTACCTCTTCGTTGCGGGGTACGAATGAGGAGAGCTTCGGATCTGCGGGTGGCAAAGCTGCAGTCGTGATTTTCATGTAGCCCATCATACTGGCATTGATTAAAGTCTGCAAGGTTATTGAACAGTCGTCGATGAGCTCTGTTTTGCTCTGCAAGTGGCGCTAATGCCAAACTAGCAAATACGGCAGGAGTTGTGGCAAAGAGGGTTTGCTGGCAACATAGAGCTGAGTTTGACTTCCCTCTATCATCGAGGCGATGTTCTAATACAAGTTTCGAAGAGAACAGTAGAGAATTACCAAGTCGGACTGCAATGCCGATGCAAGGTCGATAATGGACATCCTGGTAGGCTTGTAGTCCTGGCGATGGAGTCTGCGAAAGCGATTGCTGTGTCGCACATCTGGATGTAGAATAGAGAAGGCATGATGGTTTCTGAGAAGATGTCAAAGTCTTGGGATGCAAGCGGAAAAGCAATTGCCTGCAGGGGCATCTCTCTATATCTGTGTTCAGCTGACCGGAAGGATTCGCACTTACACTAGGGCAGCCGAATCTCAATGACGGAGATTTGGACTGCGTACGTCGCGCGAAAGAGCAATCCGTTTCATTTACAGCTCTTTGCCTCCCCGCAATCCTAAAAATATTAGCGATGAAGTGCGCCGTCTGCTCCCTCCACTCTCTCAACACAGTGCTTGTTGAGTGGGATCTCCGTCGCCCTTGGCCAGAAACCTTGCACCAGTCACATCGGTCCCGAACCTGTCTCCCGTTCACCTTGGTCGACCTTGGACTTGACCGCCGAAGGATCACACCACCGGACACCAGGTACTCACGACGTCTGCAGTGTGCTATGCCGTAAGAGCTGCAGCGCAATCAATCTGTGAGGAGTGATCCACCACGTAATTTTCCAGCTCCTCCAATAGCATCCGGATGCGCTTCAATCACAAGGAGATCTTATGTTCAGAGCCCAGAGTGGACTCCTTCCGATGTGGGTGTCTGCAGTCCGCGCATGACCGGTCTACTAATGAATGACCGAGTGTGAGCTCACGACATGTTTCCACTTCATTCTGGACCGACTTGATCAATGCGCATGGAGCAAAGATCTCGAGGAGCAATCCAATGAGCTAATCGTACTGATGAAAGCATTGTGGAAGCTCATTCGTGACCCGGAAACTGCTCACTGCAACTTCGTCATCAAGATTCTGGTGGGGATGGATGACAAGCATTTGCGAAAGGTAGGGAAGCCACCTATAAGGTCGTGCGAGAAGGCTAACGGAGCTGGCCTTCAATTCGGACGATGAAGTCGGTGACGGCTTCTTGCAGTCCCGGGAGAAGTGAGGACCGTGGAATGTTCTTCGCTCGTTAAACCATTCCAGGCTGAAATGAGCAAAGCAGATGACGAATGTCTAGGGTGGCAATGTAGACCGCTTGTCGCTAGATTCCGGCTAAAACGCTCGAAAGATCGAACACAATACGAAAATGCTTCATAACTTCGTTCGGCCTTCTTCACTCGGGCCTCGTCTCATTGCAGGCACGCTCTGACTTCCAGCGCCTACCATTCGTGCGGCTCCTCGTACGGCGGAGTTGATAGCCGCCTCAACGCTAGGACCGGCCGTGGCCAAATCACCAGTACCGGCAGCGCCAGGTGTAGGCGTCCGACTCTGACGCTGCAGTTGGGCTGACGTAAGCCAGTGCACCTGTCGACTTAACCCAGCAACCTGTGCACCCATGTATGTGATCTCCTCCCGTGTGCGCATGTTCTCATTGATGATCTGCATCGAATGTCGGCCATCGAGTTCCTGCAATGCCGAATTGACGCGCGACATCTCGTCTCGAAGACTTTCGTGCATCGACAGCATATGATGGAGTGGTGAAGCATAGGGTCCGTTCGTGGCCGGAGGTGGGAATGGAGAGGCAAGGTCAAAGTCAGGGCTGAAAGGCTCGGGAATGTCGGCTGGGCGCGGGCCAGGTACTTCAGACGCTGCTCGATTCGGTCTCTCAGATGTAGGGCGTCGAATCGAACGGCTCCTGGGGCTAAAGGATTCAATTGGTGCGAAGCCAAGTTCGATGTTGCCAGCTTCATCCTCAGACTCTTCATCTTCACTGCCGTGTCCATGGAGCAAGGGTATGGAGCTTGGATCTGCACTCGTCTGATCCGGGTCTTCGGCAGGTTTTGGATACAACATACTGTGCATGGAAGCAAAGCCGTTCTCCAGCACTTCCAGCTTGCGGCTCATTTGCTTCTGAGCTGCCTCCTGCTCGTCCATCCTCTGGTTCTGCGCTGCGAACAGAGGTGCCAACTTGGCAAAGACACATGATTCAGCATGAATCTCTGCTTGCCCTCTTTTGTTTTTCACTGTGCATCCCAAAGCCTCTCCGGGACACCGTATACCGATAGCATGGCATTTTCGCGAATTGTGCTCGGCTAAGTCCCGGTAGTAGACCTTGCTCTTGCAAAGCTCACACGTAATCTCACGGTCGGGACACTTGGTCCGCCAGTGCGTCTCGAGATGGCACTTTTGCATTTCAGCACGGCAGGCGAGACAGCTCACACCGTAGTGCAGGCAGCCCTGCGTGGAGTCCTTCCTACGCAGAGGAAGCTCGCATCCATCAGCTATGCATTCCACCATGGCGTAGCCACAATATATCGACACGTGGTCCTGCACTTCGCCTCGCTTGACCTTCGCCTTGCAGCCATCTTCGGTTTTAGGACACTGTACAGCCAGGTCATCCAGGATATTGATAAGAATCTTACTCGTCGCGGAGCGGGGTCCCAGTTTAGCAGGTGTACGGCAAGTCGGACAGTCTCCTCGTGGTCCCAAGGGGTTGTAGGCGGTTGAAGTAGTCCATGTCTGGCGTATACAGTCGCGACAGAAGCAATGGTCACACTCGGCCAGCACAACAGGGTCAACGAAGGGACACCTGCATATAGGACAGGTCAGGTTGTCATCGTAAGGTGTGGCATAGTCCAGTAGTCGGAGGTCGACGGGAGGATTCAGGTTCTGCGAACGAGCCTTGGTCTGTAGGAGATTCCTCTCCTCCATGGTCCTTCGTTTCTCCAATCTCTCCATGCCCCGGAGGGTCATACTCCGAGACGGTGTGGTGCTGGATGACCGGCTTCTCTGTAACTCAGCGGCAGCGACATCTGGTTGGGATGCTTGGGCGGCTGCTGTCAGCGTGTCTCCATAGGACCGGCCCCGCCGGTGGGTGGAGGGATGGGTACTCTGGTTGTTGCTGGTACCGAGACTGAGACGGCTGGAACGCCAAAAGCTTGACATTGCGGATCCTCTTCCCGGTTGCCCAGAAGCGAGGGATTCCGCAGTGCTTCCTTCCTACTAGGTAGACCGTGTCGTCGACTTTGCTATCGGGATATGACCCGAGGCGTGGGAGAAGCAAGTCTGGGACTCGCCGATCTGTGTTGTACTCCGTGGTATGCAGACTGCAGGACGGCGACGGGAGGCAGCGGCAATATATGCGAGCGCGCAGATGGAGGACCGGGGTTAGGATGGGTGGACCGGAAGAGCCGAATTGCTGGAGGAGCCAGGAGCCAAGCCAAGCCAAGCGGACGGGGTGAAAGGGAGGATGAAACGCAATGGGTCGTGCCGGGGGGGAGGCGTTGCGTTGCGTTGCGTTGCGTTGCGTTGCGTTGCGTTGCGTTGCAGGAGGAGGACGGGACGGTTGTGGTGTGAAACGTGAACCTGCGAGTTCGTTAAGGTTGTTGTTGTGTGTTGGTGCTCGTGCGTACATGTACAGTACAGTATTGTGGTATCTCCCGCCCGCACTGACCGACGTCGGCACCTCCCGCGCTCCTGTGCTCCTTCCTTCGCCTGCACACCTGTGTTCGCGCCATCGCGTGCCCCTCTGCCGATCCTTCCGCGCGCCGCCAGATCGGCAACCAGTGGGAACCTCAGCGCATCGTGCCTTCCATCCTCATCAGTAGTCGCCATCCGTGTCCAGCAGCGACCTCGATCGCAGCTGCAGTATCTAGCCGACGCAGCTTCCCCATCCGAGACGGACATCGCAAGCATCATCGGGAAGGTGCAGCAGTTCATATCGGCAGGCGACAGGGTGTGGGACGGACGACAGGGCAGAGCCTGCTCGTGTCAGTGCGTCTGCAGGCAGCGCCACATCGAGAATCATAACACGCCCGAATCTGGACATCCGACTCCTCCAATCTTCCAACAATGTCCTCGTCTTCGCCCAAGCAGCTGTTCCTGCTAGCCGACCACCTCAAGCTCTCCCTGCTCGAACGTCAGCGCGCCATCTCACTCAACCTCGAACCGAGCAAACACGACGCCCACATCTCCCGCTCTCTCGCCCAATTGCAGGAAGGACTCGAAGCGCAATCAGACGACACGGAAGGCTTGCGCCGGCTACGGCAACAATACGCAGACCTCTATGCACAATTCCATGGCTCCGCGCCCCCTTCACACTCCACACAGCAACCCAACGATCCCGCCTTAGCAGAAGACTTCGCGGCCGCACGCTCCCAACCTTCAACGAAATCTCCGCGAAACAAGAGCGTACGCTTCCGCGACGATCCCGGTGAAGACGGAGATGACGCCGTTGCGCAAGCAAATCGCGCAAGCCTGTTCTCTGATCAAGAACGCTATCGCGACGAGCCCGCCGCACCAGACCAGACGTCAATGGACAACCAGCAAATACACGACTACCACCGACAAGTTCTGCAAGACCAGGACGAGCAGCTCGACAGCCTGGGGCAAAGCGTAGGCCGGCAACGAATGCTGGGGATACAGATGGGGAATGAAATAGACGAGCAGAATGTCATGTTGGAAGATGTGGAAGCAGGAGTGGACGGGCATTCGAATACGCTGGATCGGGCACAGAGGAGGCTGACGAGCGTGTCGAGAAAGGCGAAAGCGAACTGGAATTGGATCACGATTGCGATATTGGTTGTAATATTGTTGCTGGTAATCATCGTGTTGAAGTAGCGAAGGCATTTTGCAGGAGATCATCTGAGTTGATAGATACGATTTATGAGCATCGGAGACCAGGCGTTGTGTGCCATGCCGCACTCTGTCATCCTGACAGCCTGCAGCTTTGGCAAGACGAGACGAGATGAGACGAGACGAGAACGTAGACATCAGCGCTACGCGCAGACCAATGAAACAGATGCTAGCAGTGCCTTCGTATCCCACTAATAGCTGTCATCTGTCTCACCTGACTCGAGTTCACCGTACTGGCAGACCCTTGATATGATGAAGAATGAACCCGTAGAAACAAGAATGCTTATCAGCCCGTTGGTGATTGGCGCGTCGCACTCAGCTACAGAAGGAAGCAACTGAGGCGAGGTGATTGGTTCAGCTTGTTTCTATCTCTCGACACCACTTCCACTAAACACTCGTTCCGACATCCAGTCCACCCTCTTCCACGTCTCCGCGAACGTTTACGACTACTAGTACCCAATTCATTGCCGCAGCCGGCGCATAGCATTGTCCACACGTCCGCATCGGCTCGTCAGCAAGCCTGAGCTTCCACCGCAAGGTTGAGTGGCAGTCCAGAGCGCATCTCCTCGGACGATTGGGAAAATGCGCGTGGGAATTGCATGATTGCTCGCCGGCGGTCGAGCAGTTCACGTCTGCGAGCCTGATACGTTCACATTCCCTCGCATTATTCATGGATCCAGCCTCCTCCCGAAACGCTGAGCTTGCTTCCCTACCACCCGCCCGAGCATACCACTACCAGACATCCGACACTGAGAGCAAACTCCTTCGGACGGGAGAGACGACCGCGGCATATCCCTCTTCCAACGTGGTCTCTTCGGCCGGCACCACTCCGCCCGCCAAGCCCAAGCAGCGGAGCAGGAGGAAGCACGCCGCGGAGGACGATGATCCCTCTAAGCGGAGATGTGTGTCGACCGCGTGTATAGCCTGTCGGAAACGAAAGAGCAAGTGCGATGGGAACCTGCCAGCTTGTGCCGCGTGCTCGCAAGTATACGGGACTGAATGCATTTACGATCCCAATTCCGACCACCGGCGGAAAGGCGTCTACAAGACGGATGCAGATGCCTTGAAGACGAGAGAATCGACGTTGCAGACGCTCATCCAGGCCATTCTCAACTACCCCGAAGACGAAGTTCCCGCTTTAATCCGAGAAATCCGAACATGTGAGAGTTTGGATGCAGTGGCAGAAAAGATTGTCGCGCGAGAGAATGGCTATGAGCAAGAAGACGAAGAGGAAGATGTGTCACCGAGTGGAGATGGGACCATGACAACTTTTGAGTCGTATCTGTACGGCAAGATGGGAGACCTCCGGCTGGACGAAGGCTCGGTGCGATACATTGGAGGCACTTCCAACCTCATACACCTGGCCCAAGAGGATGACTCTACGCCGAATGTGGACGACTTCATGCAGCGGGAGAATCCTATCACCTCCTGGACGAACGTCACGAACGATCCGGAGCTGGTTCTCCATCTTCTTAATATGTACTTCACTTGGCACTACTCATTCTTCACGACGCTTTCCAAGCAACTCTTCTACCGAGACTTCTCCCTAGGCAGGCCGCCGTCCAGCATCCGACGGAAAACGCACTATTGCACACCATTGCTGGTCAATGCGATGCTGGCGCTGGGATGCCATTTCACCGCACATAGCAGTGCCAGAGCAAACCCCGATGACTCTGCAACTGCCGGCGACCATTTCTTTCGAGAAGCCAAACGACTGATCATGGAGAATGATGAGCATGAGAAGCCTCATCTGACCACTGTACAAGCCTTGGCACTCATGTCCGTCCGAGAAGCTGGCTGTGGGCGGGAGGGGAAAGGTTGGGTGTACAGCGGGATGTCCTTTCGGATGGCGTGCGATATGGGTCTCAACCTAGACTCTAGCCAACTGACGTCGAACAAATACGTGGCCGGCGACGAGAATGAGGAAGATGTGCGGAGGGTCACATTCTGGGGCTGCTTCTTGTTCGACAAGTGTTGGTCCAATTACCTTGGTCGGCTACCCCAACTTCCATCATCTCTGGTCACAGTCGCAGAATACGATGTGTTTCCGGAAGAGGACTCCTCGCAATGGATACCTTATACGGACAGTGGATTTGCACGGTCTCATGCGCAGCCAGCACGGACCAGGGCTGTGGCATTACAGATCTTGAGATTGTGTCAGATCAGCAATGATCTGATGCAGCACTTCTACAACCCCATGGACATGGAAAAGGCAAAGGGTAAGGCAGCTGAGCTTCGAAAGCTCTCCGATATCCACACTCGGCTTGAGACCTGGAGACGAGAACTTCCGAGAGAGCTGGAGCCAAAGGAAGGGGCTCTCTCCAGCGTACTGGTCATGCAGTAAGTCAACACCCACGTATGGTTTCTTGGATCGCCTAATGCTTTGCAGCATGTTCTTCCAGCTCCTCTTTATCCACCTCTTCCGACCGTTCTTGAAGTACACTCAAGCCACATCACCCTTACCGTCGAATGTCAGCCCGCGGAAGCTCTGCACGCAGGCTGCAGCCATGATCTCGAAGCTGATGCGTCTGTACAAACGATCGCACGGCCTTCGGCAGATCCCGAACATTGCTGTCTACATCACGCACTCGGCCAGTACGATCCATCTGCTCAATTTGCCGGACAAGAACGCGAAGCGAGACATTGTGCACGGCGTCAAACATCTCGAGGAGATCGCCGAGGGATGGTTGTGTGCACGACGAACACTCGCGATCTTGAGCGTGTTGGCGAGCAAATGGAACGTCGAAATGCCGGAAGAGGCCGCCGCGGTGCTCGCGAGGACAGACGCCAAGTTCGGTTCGTACCTTGGTGAGATATCATCACCAAGTAGCAGCCACAGAAGAGGCTCCGAAGCTCTTGCCATTGCATCACAAACGTCGGCACCGCAGCAGATGATACACAATACAGCGCACATCCAGCCAGCGCCTGGCTATCTGCCACAGTCACAACAACAGCCCCGTACGGCATCTGGCGCTCCCGTGGTACGATCCAATAGCGTCAATTATGCGCCGCCTCCCCAAGATGCAAATGACTTACGCGCACAGCAGTACCCTTCCGCAGCAAATACGCCTGCGACACCAGCTCACCAACGGCAATGGCAGGGCGCTTCCAGCATCGGCGGCAGTCCGAGCGACATGTTTGGGGGCGTAGAACAATTACTGAGAGATAGCCAGGACTGGGCGTATCGCGATCAGGCACAACTTGCTACCGCTCTCGAGAATTGGAATCCTCCGGTGGGCTCGATGGATTGGGCCGGGATGCAGTCGACTATTGATGGAGGACCTCTTGGGGGAGCAGGGATGCTTCAGCAGCAGCCGACGATGGCACCTCTCCAGCAACACCAACCTCAGCAGCCGCAGAATGGGGATATATATACTCAGCCTACTGCACCGACTGGTGGTGTGAGTGATTTGGGGATGGCCAATTGGCTGAACGAGATGAATGCGTACAACAGCATGGCGGCTTCTTATAATGAGGATGAATGGTATCAATGATCTGTACGTGAGCGGGAAAATGGGCACGGCGAATGAGAACTACATTTGTAGATACCCCCCGGTATAAAAGTAGAGATGAAGCAATGTAATCACAAGATCGTCGATTGTGTAGTGTATACACGGTGTATAGGGTCTGAATAGAGTTCTCACGATCGACGAGGGTCCAGAACGCCGAAGATCTCGCTAGTGGCGGTACATCCCACTCCCACTCCCACTTCACCTCTCGTCCTTCCCACTGCAGCTCGTGTATGCTACGTGTACTCACCCTCCTCCGCCATCTCACACCTTTTCATCACTGTGCCGCCCCGGAATACAATACAATAGAATACTGCTTCACCTTCCTCAAAGCAAGCCGGAACCAAAACTTCCCCGGTGGCGGGTTCCATCCACAGAATGGCGACAACATACGGAGACAATTCTCAAAGATCCACCAATCTCGCCCGCGTACGGGATAACCAACGACGCTCTCGAGCCCGCAGGAAGGAATACCTGAACGACCTGGAAACGAAATATCGGCATTGCGAACAGGTCGGCGTGGAAGCTTCCACGGCTATCCAGGAAGCTGCGCGGCGCGTGGTGGAGGAGAATAAGCGTTTGAGGGAAGTATTGAGAAGGCATGGGATTAGCAGTGAGGAGGATAGGAATGAGGGGGCTGTGCTGGATGGAGTTCTCGGGAGGAGGTGGGAGTGCGGTGGAAATGGAGGAGGAGGACGTGGTGGTGGTGGTGGGAGGTCGGCTTCGCCACCTACTCTTTCGCCGGCAACTTCGACTTTCACGGATCAGAGATCGAGTCCTCGGATTCCGAATGTTATAGCGCCGGCTGTTCCGGAGAGGCTATTACCTCAACAACAAGGACAGCAGCAAGGGCAATCTCAAGATCCCGTCATTTCTTCCTCTTCGACTACTGCATCCACGACTTCCAGCGGTATGCATACTCCTTCGTCCACAGAGTGGCAACGACCTCAATCTCAAACGATAACAACAACAGCCACCATGGGAGATTACCCCCGCTCTATCATCCCAACTTCAATCCCACCCCAGGATCCAGAGCAGAATTTCTACAACGACCTTTTGCCCTACTACGATCTTCAAAATTTCAATCCTCATCAACAACAACAACAACAACAACAACAATTACAACAACAACAACAACAAGAACAAAATCAACAGCAACAGCAACAATACGACTCTTCCTCCTGCCACGATGTAGCCGGCGTCATCCGAGCCATCAACCCCGACGTAGTACCCGAACTGGAATCCGAAATGGGCTGCCAAGACGGAGGGGATTGCCATGTCCCGAACGTGAGAGCTTTCGATCTACTGGATCGTTTCTCCGAGAGATTGAATGCTCTCTGAGAGGACGACATTCTGCAGACACCGCGCCGCGTGCGTTGGGACGTCACACGCTTTTTCTTTTCTTTTTTCCAAACATTTTTTGTGAGAGCGATGGAAACAGGCCTGTACAAAATCTTCGCACCACGTCGTCGTACCCTCGAGCCTGAGGGGTGATTGGAAAAAGTTGGAGGCGCGCGCGCGCGTAGAATGAATTTTGATGATGAATGACGTGAGGGGGTGGGAATCGATCCGACCACAGAGGAGGCGAGGCGAGGCGAGGCGAGGTAGAGCGATTGTCGAAAACCTTACCCACGAGCTTTCGCTGAGAGTTCTGAGATTGAAGAGATTGAGACTGAAACACCTAACACATCGTGATTTGTATGAGGTACATGAACGCATCAAACGAAAAGCAGTGTATGCCACTGAATCCGCATAATGACGAATTTTCTCCAGACCTCACGTATGCAAGTCGTCTAGAAGTCTGTCCATGCCACAAGGGCCTCCACGCAAACAACCAATCACAAGGAAGGAGAGGGAACTGAAGAACTTTTTCCAAATGAACATTACTCGATTTCACTATGTCTCTTCAATGACCGTCCCATGCATGTATACTCTTCCCTCCACCGCAAAGAGATGGTCCTTAAATCTCCTCCTCTAATCTCTGTCTCTCCTCCGTTCTCCCACAAGGAAGAGGACCGGCACCGAATTTTTTCCAAAACATATATTAACCGACGGGTTGGTGGTATCTTGCTTTTGTGGACAATGACTTCAAACAATCAAAAGGAGTGAATCTACAAGAGAGTCAGCGGTCATGTTCCCGTAAGTTTGGGTGGTTAGAGACATACATACTCTTACCCCCGGAGCTCCATTACGCCTCAGCGCCATCGCTAACGCGTTTACCAGAGAATGAACAGAGCGATCGGAAGCAGGGCGAAGGTCGAGGTAATGGCTCCACCCGCCGGATTCTGACCGGCGGCGCCCTTGTAGGGAACTACAGGGGTGGAGGGCAGAATGGGAGAGGATTTAGATGGTGGCACTCCGGCTGACTTGGCGGGGACGGTGGTGGATGACTTGCTGGATGGGGGTACTGCGGCGGAGCTGAACTGTTTAGCAGGTACTACAAACACAGTGTCAACTGGGAAATGTGAGCAAAAGGACGGTGGAAGACTTACTGGTTGGCTTCTGCTGGGGTGGCTGAGCGGATGACCCTGGAATTTGCGGAGGAACCGCGCTGGTAGCTGGTTCACTGGGAATATTTGGCGACGCAGGCGAGCTTGGTTGCTGAGCAGGAGGCTGAGAAAGAGCTGGCTGAGCGGTCGACCCTGGAGTTTGCGGAGGAGCCGCGCTGGTAGCTGGCCCATTAGGAGTATTTGGCGACGCAGGCGAGCTTGGTTGCTGAGCAGAAGGGTGGTATGCTGGAGGCTGAGAAGGAGCTGGCTGAGGCTTGGTCTTGTAGATGATGGTCTCCTGAGTGACCTTGGACGTGGTCTTAACATGCGCTGAGCTGGTCGTGTTCTGTGGCGGAATGCTGCCCATCTTAGACGGAGAGCTTGGGACCTGCGTTGAGACGGGCTGGGAGGACGTGACCTTTGGTGGCTTGGTGGTCTTCATCTCGGAGGTGGAGCTTGGGCAGGGGGTGGGAGAGGAGTGCTTGAAGATCGTGGTCGTCTGATTCTCCATCTTGGTCGTCGTGATCTTCGTATGGAAGGTGCTTGGAACAGAAGATGGACAGGGAGTCGTGGTCGCATTCTTTGGTGGTGGGTGAGGGTATGTTGTGTGCTTCGGCTTGGGTGGCTTTGGATATGTGGTGTACTTTGATTCATACGGCTTGGGATAAGTTGTTGGCTTCGGTGGTGACGGAGGCGGTGGGGTAGAGGTCACCTCACAGCTGGTGGTCTTGTACGGAATGACATGAGTGTGTGTCGTCTCCGACTTGGTCTCGCACGATGTCGCCCAGACCGTGGAGTGGGTGTGCCGCACTGGAGGTGGAGGTGGAGCATAAGTGTGCTCTGGAGGCGAAGGTGGGCCATACGTGTGGTCCTCGACGTTGCGCTTGGCTCGCGGCATCATAGTTGGCATTCCTGGTCTCGCGTACACTGGACCAGTTGAAGCTGGCACGGTGAAAGTCTGGCAGATGGTGTCAACGAAGGTATGAGTTTCTGGCGTTGGCTCGTCCGTGCAGATACTGGTCCATGTCGAGAAATGTGTGGTGGTAAAGTAGGTGGCTGGGTAGGTGGTCATGGGCACGTGTGGCACAACATGTGTCGCAGTTGGGCAAAGCGAGGTAGAGACATAAGTTGTCTTTCCATCCGCGCAAGTCTGACATGCCTCGGTGACGGTGAGGGTCTGGGTCTCGTGAGAAACCACCGTGTGCACAACAGACACGGTTTGGGGAGCAGCATATGATGAGCTAGCCTGGGCAGTGAGGGTAGCGAAGACAGTCTTTGTCACGGTCGACGCGCCGACAGATGAGTTGCTTGAGACACCTGGGTCCGCGGCGGATGAGGGCGATGTCTGCGCCAGGAGAGAGGTGCTGTTATGAGCTGAGTCGACCATGACAGTTCTTGTGACGGTAGCCGTCTGAGGTGCGACGCTGCTTGGGACGCTTGAGCTGCTGGAGGCGGAGTTGGTGGAGCTGGTTGAAGCTGTCATCGTGACCATCACAGTCTGGGTGGGGGCAACGGATGAGCTGTTGGCAAACGGCGCGGGTGTAGACGATGCCAAGAGCGAAGAGGCGTTGAGTGATAGAGTAATCATCATAGTCTGCGTGACGGTGGCTGTCTGCTGGGCGGAGGTAGCGTTGACGAAAGGCATAAGACTCGAGTGAGCAATGTTGGAGGCAACTCCAGTACCAAGCGGCGCTTGGGTGCTCGAGGCCACAACGACGGCTGGATCGAAGGAGGAGCTGTTGGCGAATGGTCCGGCAGCGCTCGAGGAGGCGGCGGGGAGGCCAGTGCCCAGCGAAACTGGTACGCTGGATGTCGCAAGAGCCGCTGGGTCGAAAGAGGAGCTGTTGGCAAATGGTCCAGCAGCGCTCGAGGCGGGATTTGGCAGCCCAGTACCGAAGGACACAGGCGCACTGGAGGTTGCTGCAGCAGCTGGGACGAAGGATGAGGTGTTGGCAAACGGTCCAGCAGTATTCGACACAATGGGTAAACCAGTTCCAAGGGATACAGCTGGCCTGAAGGTAGCCGCAGCAGCTGGGTCGACGGATGTGCTGTTCGCAAATGGAGCAAGGGTCGACTGAGCGCCGGTGCCCAGCGGCACACCAGTACCAAAAGAGGGCTGAGCAACGGATGTGCTGTTCGCAAATGGAGCAGGACCAGACTGAACGCCGGTGCTCAGCGGGACGCCAGTACCAAAAGAGGGCCGAGCAACGGATGTGCTGTTCGCAAATGGAGCAAGGGTCGACTGAACGCCGGTGCCCAGCGGCACACCAGTACCAAAAGAGGGCTGAGCAACGGATGTGCTGTTCGCAAATGGAGCAGGAGTCGACTGAACGCCGGTGCTCAGTGGAACGCCAGTACCGAAAGAGGGCTGAGCAATGGATGTGCTGTTCGCAAATGGAGCAGGACCAGACTGAACGCCGGTGCTCAGCGGAACGCCAGTACCGAAAGAGGGCTGAGCAATGGGTGTGCTGTTCGCAAATGGAGCAGGACCAGACTGAACGCCGGTGCTCAGCGGAACGCCAGTACCAAAGAAGGGCTGTACGACAGAGGTAGTGTTTGCAAATGGTGCAATGCCAGCTGATGTCAATGGGATGCCTGTTCCAAGTGAAGCCTGCGCAGTGGACGTTGCTTGGGCAGCTGGATCAACAGCAGTGCTATCTGCGAACGGCGCAAGCGCACTGGTAGTGGAAGGGATGCCCGTGCCCAGCGATGCGACGAAACTGCCTGCAACCGCAGGGTCTACAGAAGTGCTGTTTGCAAAGGGTGGGACGGCCGAAGTGGCGGTCGCGGGCACGGTAGAGTTGAGGAATGGAGGGACAGCACCATTTGGGACGGACGTGTTAGCTGGGACCAAAATAGTCTCAGCAACGACCATTGTCGTCGCATTTGCAGATGCATTGGCGATCTGGCTGGGTGCGGCAAGCACGAGAGCAGTTGCTACGGAGCTCACCAAAGTGGTCGTATCAGCATTGCTGATGGTGAGGGTGACGTCTGCAGGGAATGCGGTGACGACGGATGGGTTGCTGACTTGTCCAATCGTGGGTGGGGTCTCCACTGGAGTAGCAGTCGTCGCGATGATCTGGTTGAAGAGGTGCAAGCGACTCGACCGCCCGGTGGAGGTCGTAGAAGTGTAGTCGTCGTCAGAGGAGTCCTCTCCGTCGTCCGAAGATACCTTCGACGAAGGGACTGGGTGCGCAGTGACTACACGCAGCGACGTAGTGACTGTGGGCACGGCGTGAGCGGTGACTACATGCAGGCTGGTGCTCGCTGGAGTTGGTGTGGTAGTAGACTCATCGTCATCGCCCCATTCAGTAGACCCAACAGAGCGAGTCTTGATCGTGTGCATAACCGAGCTGTCCTGCATGCCCCAGGCGGGAGCACTGACGGTGTAGTAGAGGAACACAGTAGTGTCGTAGTTGCCAGTGGGTACGATGGGTGGATAGATGGTCGCACCATCGGACAAGATCTTGTTGGTACCCCAGGCATCATGAACAGTCTCAGTCCAAGTAGACGTGTATTCCGGACCTGTCCACGTCGTGGAGTGTCGGTGCTTGGTACCAGTTCCGTGGTGAGGAGCGAAGTCGGTGACGAAGACAGTGCTCGTATCGGTTACCTGGCCACCAGTAGACGTCGAAGTATGAGTGTAAAACGTCTGCGTAGTAGTTGAGGTGGTGGTAGAGATTGGAACTGCGATATAACATCAGCGGTGGGACTGCAATTGCAGGGGTTCTCAGACTCACTGTCATCGCTGTTGCTCTGAGCAGGGCGAGCGGAAGCGAGAGGAAGAGCCGCAGAGGCGGCGGCAGCGATCGTGGCGACCTTCATGGTTCACAGCGAGCAGGTGGTGAGCGGCAGGTGAAGAGGAAGAGGAGGAAAAGAACGAGGCCCTGGTCAGGATGTGCGGCGGTTTTGGCCTGTGTGCGCTGCCCACCGAATCCCCATCCAAGGAATTTTGTTGAGCTGCCATGGTGGTACTGCAAGAGAAAGCAGTGGAGCGTCCTTTCATTCTGAGGTGCGGCAGGTAGCTCATGCTGTTAGACGACGTGTGGAAGCACCAAAGTTAATCTACCAGTCGGTACTGCATAGACCTGGGGCAAGTCAGTGAAATCTTTCTTTTTGATGTCGCATGCAGTCTTTAACTGCACGCTACACACGACATTCCCATGCTCATGATCTTGGCTATTTTTCTGATTCTTGCTGGCAGTCTTCGCGAGCCTGGAGAAGTGTACGGTCATGTGCGGTGCAAGTTGAGAGTGCAGCAGTCTTCGACCAAGCTTTCGCAATGGCCCAACGATATTGAGGCTGAACTAATCGGAGCCCCATTACGTCGCGCGATCCGCTCTATCGGATGTGGATGTGAGAAGACAACGCCAAATCGAGGCATCATTCACGGTATATCGCGCAGACAAGCATTAGGTGGGTCGTCAGAGGTCGCGTATCTGGAGTTGCAACCGAGAGCAGAGGAAGCGTTGAGAATCATCGTAAGGGTAGCCAGCGCAGCCTCCAAGAGGATGTCAGCACTTCGGAGAAGCCGTTCAACATTGCTGGCGTGCTGATGCCGTCTTAGCAAGTTCCGCATTGAACGACACCAGGCCGTGCATGGTCAGAGGCCGCGATATTGGTCTTCTTCGCGTCCAAAGTCCACCGATGGTCAAAAAGACGAAGCCGAGCTCGGAAATCGGCGCACTTCTCATCTCGCGACATGCGGATCTATCTGGGCGGCGCGGTGGATGCTGCAGAGATTTCGCTGACCATTGACGCTGTGGAAGTGGACGGCGTGTTTCCCAACACGTGAAGTCCACTAGCGGCTTCAATGCCAAGCTTCAGTGCCAAGCTTCAGGTCCCGCAGCAACACGGAAGCTCCCGCGGTGTTTGTTGACGAACTTCCCAAAATGAGCTCGTGCGCTCGCGGATCTTCTCCCACTCACTTCCATACCACCACTTCATCCCTGTTTGTACAGCATCTTTGACAGCGACAGAATGCCCAGCATGGAATATAACCCGCGCATGAGCATGGCTCCGCGCAGCTCACAGCAGGGTAGCCAGCAGAAGAAACGGCAAGAAGACGACGGAGATGCATTCATGACATTGGTGAGACGGCTCTCGAGATGCAGCGCATTGGTATGGATGCTGACCCTCGCAGCCCGACAAAGAGATCGCAGGATGTATCAGCGACATTGGCATCAACTTCGCCATCGACGACCTCCGCAAGCCGAACCCTCAGCAAATCCAGAAAGTCTTCGAATGGTTCGCCGAACTCCTCACCAACACGACACGAGATGTAGTCGCGCCAGCCATGCGCGCAGCAGCAGAGGACATGTGCGGCGACGACGCCGATCGCATCTTCACAGCCGACACGAGAGAGCTCATGGGCTTCTTCATCACCATGCGCAAGTTGCTGCTGGAATGCGGGATCAAAGACTTCACCTTCAGCGACCTCTACCGTCCCACGCACCCTCGCCTGGTCAAGATCTTCTCCTACATCATCAATTTCATCCGTTTTCGCGAATCCCAGACCGGCGTCATCGACGAACACTATAATTCCTCCGAAAAGACCAAAAACCTCATCGAGCAACTCTACATCTCCAATCAGGAAAAAGAAGACCAGTTGGCGGAGATGGAACACAATCGCAAGAACGTCGAACAGGCCATCAAAGACAAGGAGCGTCGGAACCAGGAGCTCAAGACTCGTCTTTTGGAATTGAAAAAGAGCCAGGAACGCGTCACGGAGAAGTTGGAACGCGTCAAGGGCGAACAATCCCGTCTCAAGACGCTCCTGGAAGAGAAGACTACAAGCGTGATGAATACCCGCTCCGAAGCAAACAAACTCCGTCCCTACACCGAGCAGTCCCCGCAGGTCCTCGAGCAGTCCCTCCGCGATCTGCAGACCAACCTTAACAACGACCGTAACGAAATCGAACGTCTGGATAAGCGTTCCCGTGCCTTGCAGACTTCCGGCGACACGTTCTCCCTCCTCCAAACGGATATCTCCTCTCTCACCCGCCTCCTCACAGATCTGCAGAACGAATTGAACAAGGAGGAAGAGGAAGCTCGCTCCGCTGCCAAGAACCGCGAACACTTGACGGAGAAGTCCAACAGTGTGAGGGAAGTGGAGCGACAAGAGAAGATGTTGAGAAAGCAACTGCAGCAATGGCAGGATCGGACGGAGAAATTGCGGAAGGATGCGGAAGTTCGTGCGAGCAATGCGAAGCAGAAGATGGAAAGCTTGCGTGCTACACATCGGGAATTGACAAGTGAGAGGAAGGAGAGAGGAGAAGAGGTGGAGAAGCGGAGGGTTAGGATCGAGCAGACGGAAAAGAAGGTAAGCAATGTCTCAACTGGTTCACGCTGTGGGGATGTATTGAAGGCTAACTTTGATTTTTAGATGGCAGATCTGAAGGAACAGATTGAGCATGAGGTGCAGAGTGCACGAGAGGAGTATATGAAGATGGAAAGCCATATTCGGTTGTACATTACCGAGATGGAGCAGAGCATCTAGGGATGAGTGGAGGTCTGGGATGAAGTGACGAATGTTTGATGGCTTGCTTGTCTCTACAAGCTGTGGTCGAAACGGGAGCGAGGAAGAGCACATTCTGAAGGCGCCATTGCACTTTCGTTGTCGATACCCGCATGAAGTTCTCTCGAGCGAATCCATGTTCCCTGTACTCTCGAATGTCAGTACAGTTCCTGCTTGACGCGAGAGTGAACAGTAGAGCGGATTGATTTGTGCAAGGATCAGGGTGTTTGAGTTCTTGTAAAGGTCCACATCGTAGTTCGGAACAGGTCTGTGAATTACAAGCTTTTCATCATAGAAACGGGGCGGCGAAGGAGATGGGAAATGCTCACCTGTTAGAACGCTTCGTGGGAGGATACCCTGTCGAACGTGCACCACCTCTGAGCGACCGTCTTCGCCTTGACCGTTCGGCCTACGGACATTTCGCCGAGCCGCTTTGTGGTAACGTTCAGGATAGAAAGTTCCTCGTCCCACGGATCCCGGTCTGAGGTCGGCGTCTCGCACAGGATGAGTTTGCTCCCAGTGCTGTGCGCGGCTTCGACTGCCACTGACAGCGTGCGATTCAGACCTTGCGCGGAGAAGGCGGAGGTTGGTCGGTGAAGCTCGACGGGGTTGAGTATGGCGAGGATGGGAGTTGCTCCTGGCAGTCGCAGTGCAGTGTCCCCTTTGCTTTCGGCGAGGCGCTTGGAGATGGTGCTGCTGTAGGTTGCCAGGTAAGCTCGGAGGTGGGTGATGTCTGGACAGAATGCCAGTTTGAGCGTGCGCGAGGTTGACAGCAGGCGGAGAGTTGGCCTTTCAAGAAATTGTCCTGTGCCTGATGACGGCGCACTCTGCGCCTGGCCTGCATCTTCAGGCCCTGCGAATTGATGCGATTTCTGGAGTGCTTCAAGGAAGGCTGCCTTGGAGGAGCAGACGATCAATGTTGAAGGTGGCGCGTGATGATTGAGCACATGTTGCATCAACTCTTCTGCGTTGGAGGCCTTGAGCACAGTCGGGCCAGTGGAGTTCATAGTGCTGGTGGTAGGCTTAGGAGGTTAGTGGGAGTAGCAAGATTCTCGCTCATGGCGGACCGTATGTGCCATATGCACGAAGGGCGAAGAGCGTCAGCTTCGCTGTAAGCTGTGAGCCTGACTGTGGCATGCCGCTGAGCAGATTGTCGACGTTGATGTTGTTGCGCAGTAGTTGAGAGTTCTCACGTCGAAGATTTTAAGATGGAGATCTTGGCAAGCGTAGAGCGTAATTATGTCCATTACGGTTGATAACGCGGCGTGCCGCCGTTCAATACCTAAGGTATCCACCTCATGTGTTGGCCCCCCACTGCTTGCACGGTCAAGTCAGTTGAAGGCAATCGCAACTGGAGATAATACCCTAATACTGCGTCGCACCGCCCTCTCGATGCTGTGGCACGATGGAGTCCGTCTCGCGGATCAGCTCGATGCTGGAAACAGGTAAATACCGTCCCAAGTCCCAGCAAACAAACATGCAATGGAGAACATCCGCTGGGAATTGCCAATACTGACTGCCAGAACAGCACGCGACCTGACTCTCGAAGCCGCTCGGGACGCCGGTCCTCGCAAACCTCTTCGTCCTCTCCCCGCCGCACAGATCAAGAGGCTACTCGATAGCAGACATGAGAAAGAGGTGCTAGATGGGTTGCGGAGAGTGGTTGCGGTATGTCCAGCCCGCGAGTGCAAGAGCAAGTGCAAGAGACGAAGATCTGTATTGATCGCGAGTGACAGATGCAATATGCCAATCCTCCTCAACCCACCTTGACCTTCTTTCCGGCTGTCCTCAAGACCTTGTCGAATCAGTATCCCTCCACACGACCGTTAGTGTACAATTATTTGGTCCATCATGCAGAGGCCGACCCGGACACGGCACTCCTTGCGATCAACACCATCCAGAAGTCGTTATCGGATACCAATCCCAGAGTACGAGCGATGGCTCTGAAGACCATGTCTGGCATTCGTGTACCGGTGATATCCCAGATCGTGAGCTTGGCCATCAAGAAGGGGGTCAGCGATCTGTCGCCTCTGGTACGAAAGGCTGCTGCTTTGGCATGCGTCAAGTGTGTCGACCTGGATCCTTCCACACGCCCACAGGTTGAGGACTACCTTGCAACACTTCTGTCCGACAAACAGTACTACGTCGCCGGAGCAGCAGTCCAGTCTTTCATGCAGATCTGTCCTGAAAGGCTGGACCTGATACACCCGGTTTATAGAAGGCTCTGCAGGATGATCGTCGACATGGACGAATGGGGTCAGCTAGCCCTCCTTCGATTGATGACTGTCTATTCGCGCGGATGCTTTCCGCGCAGGGCAAAGCGTGTGAAGCGCGCCGCTACTCAGGAGCAACGAGCAAGGGATTTCTACGAGGACCTCGAGTCCAAAGAGGAAATCGATCAGGGCTACGAAGAAGTCGATGCGGCAGATCCGGACCTCGAACTCTTCCTCAAAGCAATACAGCCATTGCTGTCAAGTCGCAACTCGGCGGTCATCGTTGCTGTTACTAGGGCATACCTTTACTTATCGCCTACGGACTACTTGCACCAAGCCATTGGACCTCTAATGGCTCTTTTGCGGTCGCCACAGGACATTCAGCATGCGGCGTTGTATAACATCGTTCAGGTCTGCCTGACGAGTCCGACAAGTTTCGTGCCCTATTTCCGCCACTTCCTCATCCATTCTACTGAGGCACCTCACGTCTGGCGCTTGAAGCTGGAGATGTTGACCTTGATCTTCCCTCACTGCGGTAAAGAGACGCAGGACCTAATACTGGCTGAGCTGGAGCATTTTTCAAAGGGTCACAACGCTGATCTAGTCCGGGAAAGCGTCCGCGCCATTGGACGTTGCGCTCAGGCATCAGATGCGTCAACTTCGCGGCGCTGCTTGTCTCTTCTCCTCAAGCAGATCCATAGTACCGATCACAATCTTGTCGGCGAGGCGATTGAAGTGATCCGACATTTGATTCAGCGCTCGCCAGACGAGCATCAAAAGACGGTGGTCAGATTGGCAAAGAACTTGGACACGCTAATTTCGTCCACTGCTCGCGCTAGTATCGTGTGGCTTGTAGGCGAGTTTGCTGGCTACGATCCTGAGAACAACATCGCAGCCGATGTGCTCCGGATCCTTGTAAGGACATACGCCAATGAGAGCGACGAAGTGCGCGCACAGATCGTTCTTCTGGGTGCGAAGGTTTATCTACACCACCTCAACAGCAAGAATGCCAAGCAAAAAGCACTGGACGCTTTGAATCCGCCGTCGCAAGGACAGAGCACCGTTCTGGCCCCAGAGCAAGAAGAGGGAGACTTCAGCGAGAACGCGTTCGGCGACTCCAACACGGCACAGGACGAAAAGCCATTGGAGGAACAAGACGTCATCGAAAAGTTATACCAACACACCATGCTCCTGGCCCGCTACACACCCTCCTACGACCTTCGCGACCGCGCACGACTCTTCCGCGCTCTACTCGTGACGCAAAGCAGCACCGAACTGGCTTCCTTGCTCCTACTAGCCCCCAAACCCGTCCCCCAAGCGCCCTCACCAAGTGAGTCCCGCAAAGACTTCGCACTCGGCTCTTCGACGCTCGTGATCGGCGAAGAAGCGGGCGGCGCTGGCATCCGGGGCTACGAAGCAATACCAGATTGGGTAGAAGATGGTCGCGAACCTGACCCGAAACTGCGAGATGTTCCAGATTCCAAGGCGCCGGAGTATGTGACGTCGCCACGGCAGCAGAGCCTGTCTGCTGGACAGCAGCTGGACCAGGCATTACAGGCGGATTCATCGGTAAGGGCTACGAGGAAGGAGAAGACATTGGATGCTTGGTTGGATGAGGAGGAAGAGGATAGTGAGGGAGAAGGAAGTGAGGAGGAAGAAGACGAAGACGAAGAACAAGGCTCTGAGAGTGAAGAGGACGAGGAGAGTGAATTTGAAACTGATAGTGAGGAAGACGAACGGGCTGGACTTGTTCGGTAGACAGTACCATGCATACGTACCCACAGCCAGAAGATTCTGATATGAGGACGATGGGCGCAGTGCAATTTTCAAAAGACTGTGCACTCATCCTCGAGTCAGTTTTCGTAATCATGTGTCTAATAAGTCGTCGAGCGACTCACAGGACGACGTCTTGCGTAAATCCCCAAAATGGGAGGGGGAGGAACTTTTTTCTCGAAACTTAGATTCCATACATGAAAGCTATCTCTCAACCATTGCCCGGTGTGTCCAGCTCCTACAAGCGGTCACACCAATTCGCGACCAACATGGTAAAACACATCCGAGAGGAGTCACATGAACCCTTTTGGCATCAAGGTAATCGATTGTCGTCATGTCATGTCGTGTGGTGAGGTCGAGTGCGAGGACTTTCTGCTAACCCCAAGAAACCCTAACTAAGCGAACCCTAACGCTGTCGACGAAACGCACGAGACAGAAAGGAAAGGAAGGATCGAGGTTGAGGCAATTATTACATTCCAGAAGCACTTGGTCTGATGAGTACATAACACCTCAAAGTGGAAAACACAGAGTACCAAGACCCATCTCTGTTTTTTTGAGGAAAGAAAGAAGGAAGAACCACATCTGCGCCTCCAAGCACCTTCGCTATAGTGAACAGCAGACACCGCACCAGCAACATAAACAGTGAGAAAAGCCGCCGTCAACGAGCCCTATTCACGAAATCCATCACCAACGATCCGCATACGGCACCTCCCGCGAAGTCTTCCGCTGCTTCGGCGTCCGCTCGTCATCGTCTTCATCATGCCTCGCTGCTCCAGCCAGCGAATCCGCATAACTCCGCTTCCGATTCTCTCCGGTCCAGGTCTTCTTCGGCCTCGGTGTCGCATCATCGTCCACTTCCATGTCGCGAGCAGAATCGTGGTTCGAATTTTGCGAGTCGTGCCGGCGTTGTTGCTGTGGGCGTCTGATGGGAGGATATCCAATATTTCTCGGCGCTGGCGCAGTCGACCATGCGTCTCGTGATGACCTCTTTGCTGGGCTTTGGGGGCGTTCGCTACCACTGTCCAAGGACGAGTTGCGGCTGTTGCCCGCTTGTGTGCTGGTATTACTAGAAGGCGGAGGCCCAAATGCTGGTCCTGGGGTTTGATAGACCGTCTTGGGAGATCCCGTCACTCCTAGTCGAGCGAGAATGTCTTCTTGACCTTGATCTCGCACTGCCGGGAGAGGTTTTGGTCTTGTCAGCTTTTCGGATTGCTGCGACGAGATCGACTGGCTTCGAGAGTGGTTGCTAGAAGCATCTGGCGGCTGACTCGTATGCTTCTGAGCGCGGACGATTTCCTCAAACACATCCAGTGGGTCACTCTGACGTCGCGCATCTTGCAATGCATCGCGATCGCTTGATGGGCCCGTTCTTCGGTCGCTAGGGTAATCGCCAGGCTCAGCTGGCACCGCTGGCGTGGGTCCTCTGGAGAGCTCTGGAGTTGGCGAGCGGCCTCCTTCGGCGGTCCATCTACTGTCAGGTCGATTTTGCCAGTGCAATTCCAGCGCTTTAGGCGAGAAATACTCGGTACACTCATTTGGGTATTCTCGGAATATCAATTCATCCTTGCACTCCTCCCATAGACTTGTATGCCGCACACTCAGGAGCGTCTCGCCAATCGCGGAGGTTGTGCAGTAGTCAGATACGGAGGTCTCCTCATCCGGTCTGAGGACACGCTGTGCCCATGTGTCAAGATTGCCATCTTCCACCAGGGAGGGTAATGGTCGCTTGCTGGGCCAAGCGGGATGCCAGCCAATGATTCCCAGACTAAGCTCCGGAACTATCTCGTTCGGATAGGCCCAATAATAGCTCAACTCGCCATGGTACTCGTACTCCAAACCGTTCTCCTGGGATGCAACTTCAGCAAAGTCTTCCGGAGGCACCGGTGGGTCCGTAAACTGGATCCCCGACGTCGGATCGGCGTGGTATTCAGATGGGTATGGAGTCAAAGGCTGATGGGTTGGAGGATGAGAGGGTGGTGGGTGTGGTGGTTGATACATTCGGCCGAATGGGTGCTGAAGTGGGTGGTGTTGTGGAGTAGGAGGTGGAATGTATCCAACGTTTCCACCGGAGCGGAACACGTGAGGCTGCTGTGCCCATCCCTGCGGCTGCGGGAAAGGATGCTGAGGCTGTGCAGGTGGATGGTATCCTTGAGGCAGTGGATAGCGGGTGATGACCATTCCGTTGCTCTTGGTCCTCTTCGTGGGAGGGGAGCGGCTAGACTCATTAGCATTCGAGCGGTGTCAGGGGGTGTTACGGCAGTGGCGCGGGGGACGTGTCTGAGGATACACGTACCTGCGGTGCTGGGGCTGCTGGAAAGCATACGGGCCGGGTTGGTTGGGAAACATGATGACGAGAGATTTGATTCTTTCTTTCGCACTGCAAGAAGAGTCTCCAAGTGGAAGTGGACAGAAAAGCAGGTGGATTGTGGCAGGAGAAGAGAGTCGGGGTTTGGAGGCGAAGTGCAAGAGATGTGTGGTAGTCGGAGGAGAAGGAGATAGTTGGCGAAATTGGTCCCTTTCCTTGTGCTTGACTTGTCGTGTTTGCTTTGGGAGGAATTTGCTCGGTCCGTCGCCGGAGAGCAGTCAAGATATGGGCAATCAAGTGCGCCGCGAAGCAGTGACTGTGCCAGCGAGCGTGTACCGGTGAGGATTGAGGATGGGAGGTTGCAGAGCAGAGATTCGGGAGATGCAAAGATCTAGGGCATTGTTGGTATGAGGTACGATCTTTGGGTGAGTGGCATGTGATGAGGGGTGATGGAGCCAGAGACGGAGACGGAGAAGTTGTAAACACGGAAAGGTCGCAGGTAGCAACGCCAAGAGCGCGCACGGGTCTTCCGGCTGCATCCGCGCCCTGCATGCAGCATGTCCGTCCCCCGTCCCCCGTCCGGGCCGTCCCCCGTCTTCCGTCTTCCGTCTCCCGTCTCCCGTCTCCCGTCTCCCTCCCGTCCCCCGTCCCGAGTCCGCAGCCGCAGCACAAACACCTAACACCTCCATCATCATTCACACTCTATACAACTCATGCACACGCACACGCCCACGCCCACGCACATTCACGCTCTATATAGTTGATGCATGCGCCGATGATGGTCGTAGCCCGCCTGAGCGCGCCCTCCTTGCCGTATCAGGCCAGCCCGTCCTGAACCATCGCCGCAATCACCTCCTCCGCCTTCGTCGACCTCGAGATATGCCTGGTCTGCCCGGTAAGGCACAGACACCGACACCGCCGCCTTTCGTCGCGTACTGATCACGACGGAACAGCCAGCGTAGACCTCGATGAATGCATCGCGCGCCTCTACCGGAAGGAGCTCCTCGCCGACTCCGTCATCGAAGCAATATGCGCCAAGACAAAAGAGCTGTTGATGAAGGAGAGCAATGTCGTCCACATCCAGGCGCCTGTCACAGTTGTCGGAGACATCCACGGACAGTTCTTCGACATGATTGAGATTTTCAAGATTGGTGGCTACTGTCCGGACACGAACTACCTGTTTCTCGGTAGGTTACGACATCACTGGATACATTGTACTTTGTACGCCTGGCGCTGATTCTTCATAGGCGATTACGTCGACCGCGGTCTCTTTAGCATCGAGACAATATCTCTCCTGGTCTGCCTCAAACTCCGCTACCCACAGCGCGTACATCTGATACGTGGCAATCATGAGAGCCGAGGCGTGACACAATCCTACGGCTTCTACACCGAATGCAGCCGCAAATACGGCACTCCCGCCGTCTGGCACTACTTCACCGACATGTTCGACTACCTGAGCCTTTCTTGCGTGATTGACGACAAGATCTTCTGCGTACATGGCGGCTTGAGCCCTTCAATTCACACTATCGACCAGATCAAAATCATCGACCGCTTCCGAGAAATCCCACACGAAGGTCCAATGGCAGATCTCGTGTGGTCCGACCCGGATGGAGAACGGGATGAGTTCAGCTTGAGCCCACGTGGAGCAGGGTACACCTTTGGTGCGCAAGTTGTCAAGAAGTTCCTCGAGGTCAACAGCATGACGCATATCCTGCGCGCACACCAACTCTGCAACGAAGGCTATATGGTCATGTTTGATGATCGACTGTCAACAGTCTGGAGCGCACCCAACTACTGCTACAGATGCGGTAACCTTGCCAGCGTCCTCGAAGTCGGCCCTGGTGGCGAACGGAAATGGAATGTTTTTGACGCCGCACCGGAGAACGAAGCCCATAGAATGGAACAACAGCAACAGCAGCAGCAGCATGCCGGAAACGATCCGGTGCGGGATTATTTTCTCTGAGAGACTTGGCGAAAGTCTGCATCACAGCGGTGTTCATTATGTTGCGAGATACCACGATACACCGATTCAATGCATGAGAGAGGGGAATGGCGTTTGATTAGGAATGGGTACGTATCATTCTTGTGTGATGACTTATATTCCAACAAGAGTTACAGTTCATCACTCCCTCGACCTTGCAAATTCCATCCTTGAAGCTTCACAAAGTACAACTTTAGATCTAAGCTCTCTCCCTTTCTCATCCAATATTTTCATAAGACCGGGAAAGACCGCCACCTCATCATCACTACAAGCATCCAACGACCAATCCACTACCCATTTACAAGATACGCAAACAATTTTCAAGGGCACTGCGCCGCTGTCATAATCACTCTCGCTAAACCTTTCACTCGAGCGACTCCATACCCGGGAATCTTACGAGTTCGGGGAGAGGGGGTAGGGTTTGTTATCTGGAGGGTTCAGGGGAGAGGGAAGGTACTACTTTGCATGCTAGGTGATTCTTGTCGTGGAACTCGGGAGAAGGGGTTTTCAGGGCTGAGGCATCGAAAGGGCAATTGAGACCTTGCAGGAGGGCGGAGAGGCAGGTTTGCTCCTGGTGTTGTGGAAGTTTCGATGCCCTGGTGTCCGAGGGGATGGATGGGATTGGAGATGTAGTAGTACCATTGGACGGGGTCTTGGATCGCTTCTCTGAGTCTGCAACAGTCGGACGCGAGCGAGGTCTTGGTCTAAGGCTGGCGGGCGGGCGGAGTTCAATGGTGCCGACGACAACCATTTCTCTGCCTTGCAAGGCCTGCTCATTGTGAAGCTTGATTTCTGAGTCGCCGGGATTGGAGCAGGCGAAGAAGATGCTCCTGCTGTAGTGCTCGCAGAGGTGCTTGCTTTTCGTCGAACAAGTCGAGGATCGAAACGCGTTGCTTCTAGCGGAATATGAGATTTGCTGAAAGGGTTGGGGTAGATAGAAGCAGGCGAAGGGTTTTGGGCTTTTTTTTTCTCTTGGCTGGCAGTGCACGCACGACAAACGAAGTTGCTGGAATGGATGCAGTGGTCGTAGCAGAGGCTTCTGCTCTTGAGGAGGATTCTGCATTGGTCGATCTGTGGCCGTGTAGCTAATGTTTGTGACGGGATTTGATAGCCAGTGTGGGTTTGTGGTGGTCGCATCTAGGACCAGATCGTAGGCTACGGTGACCACATCATATGGGACATGGCCCGATATCGAGGGCTTTGTGAGCCATGCCTCAAGTCAGCGTTGCTGGCACGCCTCCCGCCCACGTCAAGAGGGGAGTCGCGGTGTGTGTTGCCGTCAATGAGAATGTCACAGGTGTTGCCATCCTCGCGATTTGATCCTTTGAAAGAGGTCCTTCATCTGAAGTGGAGTTACTTGGACGGGTGGCCGGCGGGGGTTCAAGGCTAGAAGGAGAAGGAGGAGTACAGTCTAACAACACCCCCACAGCCTCTTCTATACCACGCAAAGCAGCCGAACGACCGCCGGCAACATCGTGCAAGCAAGCAAGCAAGCAAGCAAGCATCACACCAATGATTGTTTGCTCGGTCGTTTCCAAACCACTAGCGCCTGAAACAACTTCTCTTGTGCGCCTGCTCCAGGCGTTCGCGCGACATGTACCCACCTCGTCGTCGTCGAACGAGAGAATGGGTTGCTGAAGTCGAAAGACGGTATTCGTCGAGTGGCTAGTATATACAACGGACATGATCTTTTGATTTTGTTCATCGCGTGGGAGGTTGCCCAATAGTAAAGGCACTTTGAGATGGTCGGTTGCAGGGCTGAGGGACTCAGTCAGTCGCTCAGGGTTCCAAAAGCCTTGAAGTCCCCGGGACGTATTGCTGTGCCCCAGGATTCTGGCGATAATTTGCCGTCAAACGGTCATCCCCCCATGGGTAGACGGCATTATTCAAGGTCGCCAGGCGGATAGAAATATCTTGGAGGCCTGCAGAGGCGATATGGAGACGGCACGTAGTGAGAGGTGTCTGCATACAGCCAGCGTGCTCTTCAAGACTCCAAGAATGTGCAGCTCCATCTGAGACCACGTTCGCTACTTGTGCTTCTCTCCGTTTAGAATAGAAGATGAGGTCTCGCCACGTAGCTCGGTACTGCGGAGGTGCCAAGGATCCCGCCGAGGGCAACACAACACCACGTCCTCTTGCTCGCTCATCACTATTATTGTCGTGAGCAGTCGGAATAAGCTTTTGAAAGAAGCATTACCCCGGTGGCCTTATCTCGGGAGCCTTATCTCGGGAGCCTTATCTCGGGAGCCTTATCTCGGGAGCCTTATCTCGTCTCCCAAGTCGGTGACAAAAGGGCCAACTTACTCACCGTGAAACCCGTCTTACGGCCGCTTGTGCCTACAGTCATCGAGAACTCGGCTCCTTAATTGGCCGGTAGGTAAGACATTTGGCAGGGGGAGGGGGGGGGGGCGATATCTTCGACTTTATTACAACTCCTCCAGCTTTCTGTCTGTGGCATCGTCTGATTGCATTTGGAGAAGATGGTGGACACTGCGGCTTTTATGGTGGGCGAAGGGGGAGGGGAAACAATAGGTGGTGGGTATTAGCATCGAGGGCGCTGCGATTTCTGGAGGTTTTGGAGATTCACATGCGCTAGACGGGGGCCTTGTTGCGTCCGGACTTTCCGTGTCCGGAGAATAACTTTTACCCGTACTCGCCGGATACGCGGCCGCAGCCTAGTAGCCCTGATAGCAAAGAGAAGTCGATTCCTAGGCCCTTTGGTAGTAACGTGCTCCGAATCGCGAGCTGTACTTGGTCAGAATCATGTGCGAAGCGCCGGAGGAATACTCTCCTCTGTCTAAGACAGTATTTAGCTGATGACCTGGACAGAAAGAGCGAGACCGTAAGCAGGAACATTGGGCATACATAATCCTCCTGCTATCATGCGATGCAGGAAAAGTAGCAGCACAGAAGTTCCGTTTTCCCATTTCGCCCGTCATCGCAGGACACTTGTTCGAACTCATCGCCAACTTTCGTTTAAGCTTCGGATTTATACGCCGTCAATATGCGTCTCAACCTTACCTTCTTGGTTGTAGCACTCTACAGCGTGAGCGCTTTGGGCGCGGCCATACCACAGACTCCGCAGCTTGCGGTAAGAATGCCCAATGTCGTCGGCAATTGGAACCTGACTGACAACTTTATCCCAAAAGAACTTGGAAATCGAGGCGCGTGATGCAAAGCTCGGAAAGCTCGGACACATTCGTAAGTCTGCCAATGCATCGCACAGAAAAGACGCCGTGGACCTCCCGGATTGTATGCTGATGTTCCCAAAGTCGGCGATATCGCGGAGAAGGCGGATAACGCCCTTACCAGATTCGCGAACAAGGGAGCCAAGTGTATGGTGAAATGCATTTTTGGATGCGCAGGGGCCTGCTCGAAATCTGGAGACATGGTGCTTGGATGAGACCACGGGCAGCGACACTACACCAGCAAGAACCGTCGCTGGGGGATTTTTTTTTTGGCTTTCTTTGGTTGTCACTGGGAACTGTTGCGTCAGATCTGGCATTTTTGGGATCGGTCCGGAAGGGATTGTTTGATTCAGCCACTATTCCTTCCGGTCTGCAGCAATGGAGTCAATTTCACGTCACTTGGGTAACGGTTCCATCTCTCGTCATGGCGTGGTTCCCGTCAATTGTCTCAACGCGAAAGCACATTTCACCAGAAACATTCCGCCGACAGGCGGCTGATACCATGGGGCCGTGTGAAGACGAGACATGGCCTTGAGCCTCAGGTAGCGTTCCTGATCATTGAATCTGGTGCCAGACGGGAAGCCGGCTTGGCTGTTGACGAATACGGCCAGATCCTTGCCAGAAGATGGAAGGGACCGAGTGAGACAGTGAAACAATAGAATGCAAGTTGGTAGCCTCCTCGATCGAGTTTCGATGGGTCGAGTTCACCCATGCTCGCGCAGCCCGTTGAGAAAGGCCTTGATGATGAGTCGGGTTTCAGGATGCACGGCGCCGAATAGGTATAGTTGCAATGATCCTCCTTCGCGATAACAAATGGACGGAAGCCTGAATGTTGTGGCTGGGAGATGAAGTCGACCATTGCATGCTGCTGGTGAGAGGGTGGTACGTCGTATTGGTTTCCATTGAGCGTGCGGGAGTCGAGATTGGCAGGTTGTCCACGTCCGAAGGCTTGGCTTGTATTCCAGAGGAATCATATGGTCCATGGCCAACAAAGCAGACATGTAGACGTCAAGAAGCAATCCAGCAAGAAGTCTGCATTTCTGAGCATGTCGTCCAGCCTCCGATTATCCGGCGTATCCGCACGTGTCTGCGTCTGCGAACGTGCGTTGCGAGCGAGATATGCTTCGGACCAACCAGATCCTTGAGTTTGACTCGATCTGCACCGTGCAAATGAACCGGTTTGGTTGACATGACCCGCCAAACGGCGGCGCTCATTATTGTGCTTGAGAGAGTTCACGGAAGGATGATGCTGGAGGGTGATGGGGGAGGCTGGTACCGGTCAGTTCGCAGCCAAGCACACAAACGGTCGACGGTCACCTGACGAGAGGCAGCCAGCCACTGCGGGCGTTCTAACGATGACATGGTGGTCCGCACCGAAATAGCACGATGCCGGGTGCCAGCTGGCCGGGTCGGTCGCTCATCGAGGCGCTGCATCTGTGCATATCGAGAGGCTAGAGGCTAGAGGCTAGAGCATTGCACATTGCACACCTCATTTGTGATTGTTCTTCCGACGGCGAGTGCTGCACCGCCACCAATCTTCACAGCACAGAGTGGCTCCCGAGATTAAGATGCGCCCTTGGTCTTGTCCCATTGGTGTCGTTGACTCGTGGTCATATCGACTCCACACACATTAGGAAAGGTCGTGCCCGGAGAATTGCGATCCATTGCCAACAGGGGTCAGCGTCCGGAGAGGACACGTGATGCCGCCGCGTGTGACACGGCGATATGATATGGAATTGATAGATATGGCTTGATCGTTCCCGGGTATCCCCGCAGCTGTTCCGACCACTGACCACCGACCACCGACCACCGATAAGCCTTGGCGCGGACCGAGCCGACCCGACCTCAGCTCCTCCTCCCCACTCCCTCACCACTGCATTCTTCTCCGCCCGCCCACCACCGCCCCCTTCGACCTCGCCGCCCCCTGCGCACCGTTCGGCCTCCCTCGACGCCTTCCCGACCTCCCTCGTCCTCTGTACCCACGTCCGGTAGATGCTGTGCGAGGACCTCAAAAAAGACCCGCTCAACGTCCCCAAGCTTCGGACAACAGCCTTCGGCTCCTCTCTCGACACCTGCATGCATTGCTTGCCACCTCCGTAGCGCGTCGGACATCTCATCGACACCCACAAGTCCCAGCTGGCCCTCGGGATCGAGTCCACCGCCGTCTGAGCGGCGTCTGGCAGTGCCGATATGTCGCTACCGCGCGCTGGCATGTGCGCCTCCCGCCCAGGATGAGGCAGACCGCATGGCCACGTTGGGCCATTGCGTCGTCCATCTTGCGTGGAGGCCTCGAGGTCGCCAGCGATCTATGCAAGCCATCGCGTATTCACGTCACGATCATGCTTGTACCCCGCATCACTCGGGTCCATTCGTGTTGTCGTCGAGGACGATGCTGCTGATACCCTATGGGTTGCTCACTGCACCCGACCCTGAGGTGAAAGCACGAAGGGGGGCCTGGCTTTGTAGACGTTGACCCTGACCGCCATTGACTTTAGTGCTCCGCGCGTGCCTGCTTCGATCGACGGCTCAACATGCACCTTCTCTCGCCTTGCCAAAACAAAGCCGTGGACTGCGCCCTTCCAGTCAAACTGTAATTCGGCCTTCAAACCGAACGCGGCAAGGCTTATCCATAACACCCATGTAAATCGTCCGAGATCAGGGCGGCTTTCGCGCTCTGCGGAACCTCTCCCATAATCCTCTCGAGGCCTGAGCCAACATGGCGTCGGTCCACATCATTGAACGTGACCACGAGCGCGGCAATGACAGTGTGACCGTCCACCTCTACTGACCGTATTCGAGTCCTCCTCTTGCCCGCACCGAGATGAGGATGCAGCTTACGATCTGCCCAATCGCTGCATTGCATCGGCTCGCAGGCGGATGCTGTCAGCAAGAGAAGCCATACGCAACGCCATATCAGCTGAATTTCTATTGGCCGCCGCTCAGAGTCCAACGGGAGATGCGCGCAGGGTCAAGCCTCGCCAAGCCCATATGTGGTGGCAAGCACGGACGCGGTACTAGCATCAACGGCTGTACCAACCGCTGCTAGTACACTAGGTTCTGGTCCAAGGCCCACCGGACGAACAGTCTCAAAGCTCGAGCCAGAGCATAACGGCTTGCTGCACACTCCGGCCTGACACTCCGGCGCTTGTGCTTTGGACAGCACTACGCGCAGCTGCAGGAAGGGAATGCACCTCCTACATGCCGTCTTTGGAGCTCAACACCGCGGCGCAAGGTATCAAAGTCGACAATTACAATTCAATCGTCCTTCGACAGGTCAAAACTGCAGCATGACTCGGCGCGCAGGGCAGGCTGCTTGACTGTGAGATACTCGTGCTCATGGCTTACAGAAAGCTTAAAAAGAGCGATGCACTACTCTCCGGCAGTGTCCCGCGCGCGCTCTGTGGGGATATGTAGAGGGAAGCCCCGACCCGCTGTGTTTCGGACGTCCCTCTCTGGACTACTATCTCGTCGTTGTGTTGCGCCTTTCTGCTATCGCTTGAGCCTGAGACCCTTCCACAGTCTCTTGGTCCGACTCAAGTCATTCATTTCCCTGTCTATATTTACTGGCTACATTCTTTCTGGTTTATGGAATCACTGCTACCATCCGAAGTCTGGTCCAGTCGCACAGCCCTCCTCGACCTTACCCGTGGGGACTTCCGATCGAACATTGAACTGAAGGACCAGGCTGACAGCTGAAACCGCTGCATACACCGCTTGCACTCGTAATCCACCCTCTTGGCGACATCTTCTCGCTTGCTGCGCCAAACTCTTGTTCCTTTGTTGCGCATGCCATCAACAACCCAGATGTCTGCGCAGTCTGCATCGATCAAGGCAGCAAACGGATCTCTGGTTGTCCCGAATCTAGTCCTGGGAGGGCTTTGAAGGAGCAATGAGGACCGGAAGCATTGGTTCACCTTGTCGAATACTGAGACAAGATCATCTCGCCGTGGGTCCGGTCCGTCAAAAGCGAAAATTAAGCCCGTACGAACCACCAAATTGGCCCGAGTCATCATATCCTTCACCTCCGATGTCAAATCCTCCTTCACCTTCGAGGAGACCTCCAGCACACCGACTCGCCTCAACCTCTAGCGAGCAGCAACCGCCATCGCATCCGACGACTTCAGCGACTACTTCCATGTATGGAGTGGCTATTGCTGCGCCAACACTTGGCCTTCCCTTCTATGAACCCATTCCACGACCACCACCCGGATACCGGCCATCTGCGCCGTTCCAAGAGCCTTTGCCGCCTCTACAAGCTGCTCCGGCGCGGTACGGGGTAGCGGCGCCTCCTGTACAATCAGGACCAACATTAGCCAGTGCTCCACGCCCAAGTAGCTCCAAAGGTGGGCGAAAGTCGAAGGCGCATGTTGCTTCCGCATGCATCAATTGCAAGCGGGCTCACCTCAGTTGCGATGTCAACCGGCCGTGTGGACGCTGCGTGGCGTCCGGGAAGCAGGTATGTGAGAGACTACGTGGGCACTGGTAATTCAAGCTCTCATGGTTAGTGACTAGGACACATGCATCGATGTACAGCACAAAAAGCGTGGTCGACCACGTTTACGGGAGGAGACCGAGTTCAAGGTGGAACAGATGTTGCCCGAACCAGGCCCCTCTACTGCGATGGCGGTCGGAGGTGCAGAGGCGCAAGGTCGAGTGATGGCAGCGCCGAGGCATGGGAGAACCGAGTCATACCGTTCCTTGCGCTCGCAATGTAGCGATGGCTCAGGCGTGCCTCCAAGCCCAACATTTCCATTCCCCCCTCCTCCCACCGCCACGCAAACCACATTCGGCGTCCAGCAACCTCCCTCGGCACCTTCTCCTGGCGCGCCGGGCTATGAGGTCCCGACAGCCTACCTTGACCTCGACCTCGTCTTTCTCAAAGCCAACCAGCCTTACCGACAGATCATGATAGGAGGTCAAGATGTTGTTGGTCGCCAGCTCAGCGATATCGCTGCTGCTATGGATGGGGAAAGCTTCGCCAACATCAGAAGTCGGTTACGGACAGAGCGAGAGGCGCGAGATCCATCCTATATGCCGCCAATCAACCCGCCAGGGCAGGATCCACTGCAGGGAGCATCAGAAGCAGATGTCGAAAGGTACACCCAAGGGTTCGACGATCGCACCTACACGTGGACTCAAACGCAGGTCGGGCAATCTGCGCAATCATTTCCGGCTCGCGTCAGACTGGCAAAGGCGAATTCATACTTTGTGGCGGTGACATTACCGACCTTCCGCCCCATAGAGCAGATCCCGCCACATGCGCCTCCTCCACAGTACGCTCGCAGGCCACACTCGTCTTCGATGCATACACCAAGACCGGAGTCATATCGCTCCCCAGCAAGACACGTTGCCACCCACTCGGCCCCTTCTAGCATCACTGGCTATGGCCCGTTTCCCGGAGGCCAAATACTCTCCGTAGGACCAAGGCCAAGTAGCCAGCAGTCGACGACCCGAGCATATCTGCCGCCACAGCCCATGCTATCTGCTCCGCAACAACAGCCTTATCCATCACATCAGTCCGGACCTTCGGGAACCCCACGACTACCCGTTGCCGAGCCACCCACAGAAACGACAGCATTCACGCCTCGAAGTGCCCCACGCGAGCTGCCACAGTCCTCATCTGCAGGACCGCAGCTACCGCCAATCGTAGAAAGTCCAGCACCAAGACCGTCGAGAGAGCAGCAGCAGCCAATTGCAGGTCCATCCACCTCGCGTGCTGCTACGACGGAGCCACCAGGCGAAACATCCGCAAGCGAAGACGCACCCCGGAAACGACGCCGGCTGGGGTTAGACGATGTCTTACATCGATGAGCATCGTTGTCTCTAGGTTTACGTGCCCACGCTTCAAAGCACAGCACCAACAGCACTTCATTATTAACAGTACATACGGCACCAACAGCACAGAGTTGGCACTGGGTTGATAGACGAACTACTCTTCACGAGAACGACAGGAAGGATAGAGAAAGGGGAGGTATTTTCCTGCGGTGACGAATTCGGAAGCAGCAGCGACGGTAGCTAGCTGCGTCGAGCGGGAGAGAACGAAGTACATGTAACACTTACATCGGACGGTGCCCTCCGGCCGGCACGCCTGAGGGCGGATGGCAAAACAACCTGAATCTCAGAGCGATCCAGTGAGGCGGCGAGACGCACCTTGCTAATAAAAAAATGTCTAATGTCTTTCTTGGACGACAATTTCCAACGCTTCACTTCACACGCTTCCCCCATCTCGATTGCCTTGCAATGCAACTGAAGCGATTTTCTTCTCGAGAAGACGCGCCACACAATTGCATTCCATGAATCCAGCTCAAGCCTGAAAAACTTCCACGCTCGCGCTTAAAGAAGAATGGCTGATGGGATCTGTACCCTTGGCACGAGCACAGTCGTCGTTCATTAACGGAATTCCAGGAAGCACACGACTGTAAATAGCATTCTACTTGCCCACCGAGCGAGAATCAGGAGTAGGCTATATATATGTAAAAGTTTGAGATAAGGTCACATACGGCCACAGGCAGCTGAACAATAGGATGTCCGCCGCTGCTGCTATGATCATCGATCGGTAGTCGATATTGAGTTCCCAATTCTGAATCCTAGTTCGGTGTTCAAGAAGCTAATGTGACCTGCTGTGACTGTCCTGGTACTGAGTCGTAAGTGATCTACCTTTAACAACCTTTGAGGACGCTTGTCTAGAGTCGGGTTCTAGTATTCACCTAACCCGTTCTTCGACACGTGATCCTGGATCTCGAAACCAGGCCTGCACCTGCGTATATCTGGAACCGGTTGCTACAAGCGATTGTCCAGTAACAGCGTCTGTTAGACACAGCTGAAGCCCGAAATCGACGATCGCGATACGGGAACGATCGTTGCTTCGGCTTGTTATCAACTTTGATCTATGATTGGAAGCCTCGCAAAATTGAATGGTGCCACCTGCTAGCTACCGGCTATATTGGCACGTACTCGGAAATTTGCTCCCTCAACGCGAATCATTAGCTGCATCTATGTGCTAGGTACTGCAATACTTGCTACCTGCTCAGTAGGGCCTACGAATCGTGCAGTCTGCCGGTGTCTGGTCGGAATAGAATAGCAACGTCTCCCCAGAGAGAACGCGATCACGAACGGAGAATCTGACGTGTCGACATGAAGGGCATTCTGGATCACGATGTCGAGCTACCCGAATGACACAGTCACAGGAATCAATGACGGGAAAGATGCAATTAGCAGCATGTGGCGCCGCTGCAGCTCCAATGCTCGAGCGAGAACTTTGTTGGCGACAAGCCAGGGACGCAGAAGATATGAATATCCTTAAAACTCCAGCATCCTGTTATCAACCAAATCAAGAGCGCGCATCTTCCCCGAACAAGTCCCTGCGATAAACCCTGCAGACTATAAGCTTCCTGGATGCCGATATCACGCCCCGTGCTCTAAGAGGAGATGTAAGGACCTATACGGTCGCCACCAGGAACACTTCCGTGCCAGTAGCCCTGGCCATTGGTCCTACAAGTACCGACGACACAGTAAAAGCCTTCACCTCCTACATTGTCCTTGTTGGGACTGGTAATTACGAATGGATCCCCGACCTTTCTCCTGCCTGTACATGCATTGGACTCGAACGCCTGTACGGTATACTACGTTTCGTAAGTCAAGTAAGTCGGTCGAGCCTCGAGCAGAATACTTACTGCGGTGAAAGCTTGGCTGTACCAAATGCATACATTGCGTCCTGCGGAGTGAGAGCCACAGACCTCAGAGCTGCTTGATCCCCATGTATATGCCACAGAGAATCCGCCGTTGATCCAGCTCTCCTCAGACGCGAGACCTAAGTCCGCCTCGAGGGTAACAGACCATTCCTTACCAACCCCTGACTGGCAGTCGTCTTCGGGATCTGGACTGCACGTGACAGTCTCCTACAAGAGTGATAACAATCAGCAGTGAGCATATTTTCGCGAGGCCAAGATCGAGCTTACCGAGACCTGCTTGTCGAACCAGACCTGATGCGGGTCACCGTCGCCGACAGCTTCTAGTACCCGGCTCCATGCAGCACACTCGAACTGCCGCTCCTTGAGAGTGGTATCATTGCCCGGAAGCGCCAGAGGAGAGGCTTGGCTTAGGACAGCAGCCATAACGATGGCAACGAACTGAAGCGATAGCATGTCGAGAATAGGCACACTTAATCCGAATCGCTTGATGATGCAACAAAGACAATGAACTGGTGTAGCAAGAATCATCAAACGATTTGCAGCCAGCTGCTTGTTGACTTGATGATGCGGCTTTTCCTGGCATTTCCTCGAGGATATTTATCTCTTCTGAGCAGCGAGCACGGTGTCAGACCAAGTCTGTGTAGGCGCTGCAGGAGTTGTATAGTCGCTTGACCTCTGAAGATGCCCAAAGACAGTTCGTCCGCAATTCGACCTTATTGCCATCATCTTTCCGAAGACAAAGCTCTCATTCGCTTTTGCTGGCTAGGGTTCTATGTTGGGAAGTGCCTTACTGCATCGACGGAGCTCGATCAATCACATCTCGTACCCTCCGGAATGAGAGGGCTGGAGCATGCACGATGCCGCTGCAAAGGAGTTAGCGCGCCGCCTTCCGCCCATGCTGGCGCTAACTCAACCTTGAAGCGCGCATGTACGCGCCGAAGGGCTGAACATATTTGTTGCCATGGCCGCGCTCGATTCTTGACTGTACTCCTATTACCATAATCTTCCCACTTGAAGGATCTCAAACACTAAACACTTCAGGATGTCTTCACCACGAACATTTGGTAAGCCTCTCCCAGTAGCGGACGACTCTTGGCTAATGCGCGAACTTCCAAGCCAACTGCCCACCGACATCATTGGCGCAATCAGATCGACCTGCAGGCTTCGATAAGAACAACACCCTGCTCTGCGGCATACCGTGGCCCCAGACTAACCACGATGCCAACATAGAGCCCTGCTGCAGCGGCTCCGCTCAATACTTCAACGGGTGCTTCCAGTACTGCGTACCTCAAAATGCTTCCACGTTTCAGATCTGCGTCAACGATCGCGCCAACTACAGTGCTGGACTGGCTATAATCTGCAATCATGGACACTCTTCGGGTTCAACCAAGGCGAGGCCATGGCCTACCGGAATGCTGGCGGGTATTTTTGTCACGGGCTTGGTGGCGGGTCTGCTTTGAAAGGATTGTTTGCTTCTTCTGTTATGCATTGAATCCATGTACCATGTATAAGTCTCTTGAATCTACTCTTCGAGACGTTCACAACTCCCCTTGCTCCCTGTCCCGGTGCCACTAGTCCCGTGTCCCGTCAGCCGAGAAACGGGCCGTGCCCGACTATTGACTCGTGGCCACTCTTGACCCGTCCTTCTCCGTTGAAACGCCGACAGTAATAAACAGTCACTGATTTCCTGGTCTGCAACACTGCCATCGGACCTAAAGATGGCTCAATAACGGAAACACCCAGCGCACTTGGAGAACTCGTTACAACCATCGACGGTCCATATGTTGACGTCAGGAAAACAGCACTGCTCGGGAGATTCTCTGGGTTATACGCCTGCGTTCGACTCGTTCCCACAGAGGTGGGCTGTTAGCAGACATGCTTGTCCAATACATGTCTGATCTTCACTTGGAGCGCTGCGAGTACGACTACCAGATCAAGAAGTCAGCTCCCTTCCTGATTCTTGGAGGCGACATCGGCCGCCTATGCGATATCCCACGTTATGGGGACTTCATATTCAAACTGTGTGCAGAGTACGAGCGGGTGTTCCTCGTGCTAGGCAACCACGAGTTCTATGGCTGTAGCCACGAACAAGGATTGTTGCTGGCCGATCAACTCTGTCATGATGCCGGCGCTCTTGGGAAACTCACACTGCTTCACCGGAGGCAGTGGACGTTTCCCAAGGCGAATACGATATTACTCGGCTGCACCTTGTACTCAAAAATCAGCCCTATTTGCACGAGAATCACGAACGACTTCGCCAGAATCAAGAGTTGGACCATTGCTCAACACAACAGCGAGTATGCCGAAGATCTCAAATGGCTTACATCTCGACTGCAAATGATATCGACACTATATCCCACAGTACGTGTGATCGTTGTGACGCACTTCTCTCCAGCATTCGAAGACACTTCTCATCCACGACATCGACTTGGTAACAATGGTAGGGGATGCTATTTCCCTACGTTACAGGTGATCCTTAAACGAAACTCCAGAAGTACAGCGATTGAAGACAACGACTGGAGAAGTAGAAGTGAATGTTTCAGCAGCGACGCTCTACAAACTATTCGAGAAGCAAATCTACACCGCCAAATAAGTCACTGGCTGTTCGGACATACCCACTGGAACGCTCGTTTGCGCAGGGCTGGCATTACGCTACTAAGCAACCAAGGTTGTCACGAGCGCAATGAACTTAACATCTGGCAGAGGCTGCGGGTCTATCGGCCTTTCAATCCGCGTGCTACGCTCTCCCTCGATTAGGGAACAACTATCACTGCAACCCAAAGAGGAGTCCTGCCTGAACAGCCCGTGGAATGGCCGGCAACTGCTGCAAATCAGAGTCCTCAACCAAGCGCTTGCACCTCTCGATATCAATGCCAAGGCGAGCGAATGCGAGCTCGAGGTGCGGGTACCGCTTCATAGCAAGACCTGCTAGAGTCTGATTGAGCTCCCTGCATCGCTCTTTTAAGGGCTCCTCAAATCTTCCGGCGAGGAGCAATAGATCCGCGGCATCGGTGAATTTTGCCCTGCCAGCTGCAGCCGCCAATTTTCCTTTAAAGACAGCACAGGGGTCGAGGATTGTGGTCGTACCGGATGCGTTTGTGCCCCTCACTATCGTTTGGCCGGTATTTCCACGCAGCTGTTCCATTGGAGCTAGCGCAATGTTAGCCATGAGAGCTCACATGACTAATTGAGTAGTTAACGTACTAGGGAACATTTCTAGCAGCACCTCTCCCAACATGAACTTTGCAACATCGCCTCGAGTATTGCCTAGGTATTGGAAATGCGGGAACTGCTCGAAGAGCTCCACGATCTCTTCTTTGTCCATGTCCACGGCGCAGTCGAGATCTTTGCTGGTCCTGTTTCCACCTAAGAGATTGATCGCGAAGCCCCCAAAGAAGCCGAAGTCGATGCCACGCGGTGCGAAGATTCTGTGCGTGACAATCGCCACATCCGAGAGTTCCTGCAATGTAGGCATAACGAGACTCGATGGGCAAGCGCTTCGCCCGAGATAAGTTCCTGGAGGGCTTGTCAGATCTTCAGCATATGATAGAGAGAAACGGGTTAAGGCAGAGCAGATATGAGATGACCGCTGAGGTAAGTTTATATGCTGGTCGTCAGCTTGCTAGCACGACCCTTTGGCCCACATGGAAAGGCTCCATCGTTAGATGTCCTCTGGCTCGAACGCCCAGGGGCTCATTTGCATGATCGGTCAAGAACACAAGAAAGAGAATGTGTGGAATTGTGGATCTGCCAGCCAGCTGAGACATGCCACGTAAGTGGGGCGGGGAATCTCCAGCCGAGAGCCGATCCGTGCAGCCTGAGCTCGCGTGCCGGAAACTAAATATAATAAGACGTCGACAATCTGAACCTCAACTTACAAGAACGCGCCTGTCAAGCTCGACCCTGCAACGTACGACGTGATGGACTCGGCAATCATGCAGCATGCGGCAAAAGCTCAGGAGCTGCTGAGAACAGTGGGCATCAAGTCACTAATCACTGGGGACCTTGCGATGACACACTATAGCGTCGACACCGTGCTTCAGGTACGTGAAGTGACCCGCAAATCTAGGTAGATCGTTGACAGAGAAGTAGTGCATCGAGGTCTGCATACCGCATCAGGCCTGGCACGCAGCTATATCTACACTCTCATCTCAACAGGACTACAGCCGGATAGATCGCAACGTGGCGGACTTCTACCATCCTTATAAGCGTTTCGCGGCTGTATTCGAGATCAAAGGGTCTCCCAACCCGCTTATGCATATTGTCGACGATTTGAACTTGCCTCTTTCTCTACAGGGCCTACCCGCCGTGCTGCACACGTCTCTCAATTGCACTAAGCAGGCGGAGAATGCACTATCGAACTACGACCCTGTGCAAATCAGCTGGCCCTCCTTGTCCTCATTTGTGGCAGTCTGGATACATCTCGCTACGCAGGCGGACACGGCAGAGGAGAAATATGCGTACATGGCTTGGGCAGATCGGCTCATCGGCAGCAACCGCATTGATATTCTATGGTGCAGGGACAACATCCCCGATCTTTGTGACACGGAGGTTTTGAGCATTTTACTACGCGAACGTTGATAGTCGCCGAGGCGTTGCCCAACAGCAATGCGATAGGAATAGTCTCAGCGAGAATCCTCTTTCCGTTCTTCGGAAGCCTTAGAAATCCACGTATAACAACCTCAAGGAGAGATCATCGCAGTTCCTTCGTAGTTGTTAGCGTGTGCCGTAATGCGTCTCCCGCATTAGTGCTACTGCTCAGCGGCCGACCGCCGCTCGTGCCATTGTCCAACAATGAGGCCCGAGCAGGCTGTGCATAATCATCGTGTTGCTTCGTAAATACCTTGTCTCGCTTTCATCCGCGACCGTTCCCTTGAGTATCATTAGACCGGCTCACTTCTCTCCAATTCCACTACAACAATGCACGGCTATGCTTGGCTCTTGACTGCATTGGAACAACAGCGTCAAAGCTTCGCTCGCAACACTACCTGGCTGCCTTCCCGGATCGGCAACTTCGAGAAATGGAATATTGTACTTCGAGGTAGCCATGAGTCCTCGAAGGCGTTAAGTAGAGCCGCCAAAGGTAATAGGATACGCGCACGCACTCTACTACTAGACGTGCTAAGTCATTTCGGTTTCGAAATGTGCGTCCTCTTTACACAGTCCGCGAGTATGACCAAGCTCGCCCCTATCAAACTGGACCATGTGCTGCCAGAGCTCGAGAGATGGTGGAAGACCACCGCACTACCGCCATCCTTGGTTGATTACGTCGCCACTCTAAGAAAAATCTACGCGACCGAGGCCTGGATGAAAACTGCGTTGCCCAGCACATCTTGCAGTATAACACATTCAACACCACAGCATAGCTTTAGGAAAGGTTCAGAGTTGTCAGAGTACATCGGTTCGTGTTGGTAGCCCGTATATCTTCAAGCTCTTGCTGACCACTACAAGGCTGTTCCAAGGAGGAAACCTGTCGAGCCTTAGATCAATCCGACATCGCTCGCACTTCAGCTGCAGCACTCCCTAGCACCTGCACGGAGTCATCACAAGGTGAACTGGCGGCGGCATCAGTGCTCGACTTCCGGCTTAGCGACCTGCTAGAATTGCTCCAACAACGAGGCGCTGAGGACATATGGTTGCAGATGAAATGCCCTTTTATGGGTGATCCATTACCCTTCATCGTCATCAGCGAGGTTTCGAGCATCGGCTTGAGTGGGAAGTTGGAACTTTCACTCCAGTTAAGCGAAGCTCTGCTGAAACATAGGCTCTCACTAGGAGCTGGACCGTCGGAACAGTCTAATGGTAGGGGTACCAAGTAGTCTGCAATATTCTCCCTCGCCAAGTCGAACTATTACAACTCCTTCCTCAGTAGGTCCAGTGACCACGTTCCAAACCTCCTTGCCAAAGACGCGCACTGCTCCTTGCGCGCTGTTCTTCTTGACTAGTATTGCACGTACGGAGGCATCGACTTGGTCGAAGTTCCGTCCAAGAATCTCGTTCCCGTCTATCACGAGGCTCTCACCCGTCTGCACGCGCGTCAGTCGTGCCTGAACGTCACTTCAAATCCGCCTTACGAGCTCTGCGGCAATCTCTTCCAGCCTTGTTGTATCTTGCATCTCTTCGCTCTTTATCGGCCGTACATGGCTATCGCCGTTTGACATGACGGTGAGGGTGTCCTTGGAGCAGCCAAGGGGCAGCTGCTAAGCGGCGGCGACAGGATAGTACTCGTGGACGAAGGTGGGGTTTGACGGCAGGTTTGGCGTCCCAGCGATCTTGATCTGGTCTTCGAAGAGCACGATCTCAGATGTGTTCCGCGGTAGACGGAAACATCGTAGCAATACCAAGTCGAATAGCGCTGACACGAAATGTGGGGCAGAATCGGGTAGCTCTACCGGACTAAATTTTGAGATGAAGGCCACCCTGCACTGCGGTCTTTATCGACACCTCCGCTTTTGAGGCAATGTGTTACAACATAGTGGAGCGCCGAAGGGATCCAGCAATGTACAGCTAGCCTCCTTGCGCTGGCTTTGGACTGATCCCTTCAATGTCGCTCGGACGATTCTGAAATTATGTGTGGTCAACCACTGTGGAAGTATGTGTGCACACGAAAGAACCCGCCATCGCGAACTAAAATTCACTGGTCTGCCCTGCTTCGCCTAGCATGGCAATGTTTAGTTCTGTATGGCAACGTTCAGTTCTGTATAGCAACGTTTAGTTTTGTACAGCAACGTTTAGTACTGTATAACAGCGTTCAGTCTCGTGTAGCAATGTTTAGAGCTGTCTAGCAACGTTCAGTCTTGTATAGCAACGTTGAGTTTTGTATCGTACCGCCTCGTTCTGTCTAGTAACGCCTCGTTCTAAACGGCATTGTGTAGCTTCGTTCTGTGGCGATCCACTCTTGTTGTGTCGAGTTGTCTTGTGAAGCGCCAGGACTTCCAAAGCATAAGCTGGTGTCGATCTGTCAGGCTGTGCTATTTGAGCAGCGTTTGCCGTGTATGAAGGAGGCATCCACCAACTCGAGTTGCCTTGTCATTCGATATTTCATGATGAACGACTTCGCCATTGGTTTCGTTATTCAGCTTACAGCTTTGACAGGAAGCGTTGCGTGTTTTGGTAAACGGATATCGCGACAACCCAGCTGCATAATAGCTGGACGATACTACATTCTCTCGCATCTACTACTCACACTTGCGATTGTAAGCAAGGTCAGACCGTAGATCCGGCTGCGACTGATCGATCCAGCTCTCTTCGGCAGCATACACAGCGTCGCTTGGCCTCCAGGCCTTTCTTGCAGAAGACCACAAGGTGCGCGACCGATCTTTCTTCGCACAGCAGCGGACAATGTCCTGACATGTGATACAGTATGCCTATGCAAGGCGCATTCCCTACCAATCTGGGATAGCATGTGTCCAACTCGCCCAGGCTACGGCTGGCGCTCGAGCTTTCAACATACGAGGGTATTCTTGGTGGCTCGCCTGGCCATCTACGACTTGCTGTTTGGCTGTCAGCACCATAATTCTGGTCGCTCTCTCACCCAACTCGGAGGTTCGTGCGCCTTGACATTGATCGATGTCGTCGACTGAAATTTGATTGTAGCTTCAGCCCACTCGGGGCTGGGCCGTGTGCGCTAGCACATTGTTAGCAGAGTGTGTCAACACTATCGCCTTCGTCTGGCACACGGCGTTCTCTACACACCGATCGTCCCAAGGGCCCGACAATCAAGAAATAGACCTCTACCCTCGAGGGTTTACTTATGTATTGCGAACGATCTCCGCACAATGGCTTCGGCTTTATTTGGATATTCTACTTCGACTCATGTGAGTGACGCGCTAACAGCTAATGTTCTTGGACATTATGCTAACAAAGTCCAGTGCTACTTGTGTTACTACAGTCGCCGGCGGATTCTACGTTCAAACATTCTGGCCTGTCAACACGCTACAAGTGATGTACGTACAAAGTATATATTTGCTAATCATGATGTCTTGTAGTTGTGGATTTGGTCTTGGGTTGCTCGTTAAGGTCTATTGCCTAAGGGATCGACGCAGACCGGCTCATTCGATTACTAGTGTAGAATTGGGGCCTCGCATAACGCCGACATCGACGGAATCTAAGGTCGACTTAATGTAGGAAGATAGCGCGTAGGTCGCAACCTAAGTCCCTAATTACTATCGTTACGATAGTAGGCAAGGTCGCTAGGTGTAGTTATAGTTACACTTCGAAGTTAAATAGATAATACTATGTTAGAACAGGCATTCTACCTATCTCTGTTCTAGGTAGTAGATCGAGATCATTGTATATAATAAGCATAAAGAATACATGATCTTCGCCTCCTACATTACCGAAGTCGCGTTTAGTATAGACTATAACTACGACAGCAGATCTTCTTAGAATAGCTAATCTATAGTAGACGCTCCGTCTTTTCGAACTTCGTAAAGGCCTGTTAGAAGTGTATAGTATGTCCTCGCTACGATTACCTCCGGCCCCGCGGAGCTATGTTCGAATACCTAATAAGTAACTAAAGTAGTTGTATAGCTAAGCGCTTAGGCGAAAACGTTTTCTTCGACGGCCTCGGTTCTAATCGATATACCTAGGGGACTTACTATAGTCGTCTCTACTCCTCGTTTAAGATCCGATAGTAGCCTTACTAGGATCGCTATTACTTTGTCTAGCCGCTAGTCTACGAGTCGCTTTACAATTAGCTATAGGAGGGTCTTATTAATTTGCGGTCGATGTTCCGTATTCCTTAAGTACTCGTACGCCTAGAAATAGCTAGCTTTGTTTAAGTATAAAGCGCTAGGCTATAGCTGTCGGTGTAGCTACGAAGACATAGCTTGTCGTAGCGCGTATTCTTTAACCCTATTTCGAAGGAGCTCGTAGACTATAACGTAAGGATCGTACAAGTCTAGGTGTCGATAAAGTAGGCCGACTCCCTAATAATAGTATATTCGGTTCTCCGTAAAGAGGTTCGTAAGTTCAAGTAGTATAGCGCGAGGGATATCGCGTTCCTAATCTATAATTAGCGGGATTGCGTTGTACTCGCTAGCTACGAGTAGCCTGTCGTAGCTTATAGCTACTTAGCGTATTCGACTAGATTACTTCGTAAAGAAGCGTTAGGTAAGATATCCCTAAAAGCCCGTAAAAGAATTGCTTACGTAGGCTTTTAATGTTATAACTAGCGTAATTACGTTATTACGCATTCTAGGCTCGAAGTTCGAAGTTCCTATCTTACCTTCTTTCATTCCGCTTATCTACTACAACTATAGACACTACGACACATAATCTAGTAGAAAGAGTTAGTAGATACCTAGACGCTACATTAATTAGAGAGGCTTTCGGCTAGCTACTCTATATCCTAGTTATAGAACTCTACGACAGACTATACGGGGCAAATTTTGCTTTAGAGGGCCTTTAACCGCGAAAGATTAGTAAAGATGTAGCGTAGGCCTAGTTAGAGGTAGGCATACTACTATACTATACTAGTTCGGCGCTTACTATACGTAGAGGCGAGAGAATGTAGAGAGAGTATCGGTATATCTCGGGAGGGTGTTCGATAGGAGTAAGGCTAGTAAAGATATTATAACATACTAGGCGATTTGTCGTACAAAAGAGTTAGAAAGGCTACAAGAGCTTATGAAAGGAATTCGGAATAATAACATAGAAGTCGTTGTCTTAATACCCCTCTAGGAGTGGACTAAGGAGAATAGACTTTTCGTAGATACTTCTATTACCGAAGGTTAAGATATCTGTATCGGAGGCGCTAAGCCCATTCTATTCCTAGGTACTAGCGGTTGTATACTCGTAATAGTTATACTTAAGCTACCCGAAAATTCTGTATTATCGAGTACGGCATAAGATTAGCGTCGCTTGTACGTACTAACGAAGAGAAGTCTAGCTTAACGTTAAAGGGACTTAGAAGACATAGACCGCTAGAACTTTATAGTGTCGCTCTAGCGATTGTTCCGTCCGCGCTATACTAACTTATTGTCCCGACTAATACCTAGCCTAAAGTCTAGCCGACTAGCTAACTAGGTAGATCCGTAGTACCGTCGGGTACAGTAGCGCTATACTCTAATATATCGTTCTACTAGTACGAAAGATCTATGTTAGTACTTACCCTCCTTCCTAACGGCATCCCCTCTAATATAAGAAACGCTCTAGAATCTACTCGCTTTAGTATAGGAAGTTCTAGATCTAAGTGTATTATGTCGCTACTTCGCTTTCTTAAAATGCATTCTATTAGCTATATTAGTTTTCGAGGAAATGCGGTTGTGTATAGAAGTCTTACTAGTATATCGCTCTAGACATTTTCGGAACCAACTATTTTTGTCGCGGTATAAAGGTAGAATCCAATCATATGTCTCGAACATTACCCCTAGGGTAGGTAGATCTTCGATATTTACGCTACGGAGTTAGGTAAAGACGAAGGCTAGGACGGCGGAAGTAGCCTAACATCCTATAATATACTCGAGGAAAAGTAGCTTCGTACTATACTAAATTGCTTTAATAACGTATAAAAGCTACGGGAGCTTGTTAGCCTCGATAAAGTACGGTATACGTCCCTTACGATTATTCCGGTATACGCTATCTTTCTTTATAGCTTCGAGGCGCGAGTAGTTATACTTTTCCTTCTCCTATTAATCAAACTGTAGCGTAAGTAATCGTTCTCCTAGCCCTTTACGGAATCTAAGTAAGAAAGAAGGCTTGCCCGCCCCTAGTTATATGTCGTAGACTCGAGTGTCGATACTTTACTAGTCGGTCGCGTACTCGACCGCTTAGTCGACAGTTTTATTTAGGTATGCTTCGAGCTTCGGGCGTAACGTCTCTAGGGAGTCTAGTAAGACGAAAACGGGCTGCTTCTTCTCTAGCGCCTAGAGTTTTCTAACTACTTCGGACACTAGTCGACTGTTCGCCTAGAGGATCTTAGGAGACACATCTTTAAGATTAGCGATTACTATTAGCGCTTTATACAGTCTCTCGGATCCTTTAAGTATAATCTCGATGTAGTATGTCCTATAGATAGTCTACTAATAGTGAACGGTATGTAGATAGAATCGGTTAAGAGTAGAGAGCTATAGACGACTTACTTAGGGTAGAGAGTTCTAGCCCTAGGGCTAGGTATCAAGTTCTAGCCCTAGGGCTAGGTATTAATTTCTAGCCCCGG